AGTATACGAATTAAATATACCATCATTATTTCCGACCAAAAATTAGTTAATTACATACTTTTAAATTGTTTTAATTAATAAAGTATTCTAAATAAATGTGGATTTGGCTCAGAAATCAATATAATAATAAATTATGAAAATAAACGTCTCTGTTTTTATAAATCAGCATTCGTCAAAAAATAAAATAAAATTTATAAGGTGTTACTTTTTACCACACTGTCTAATACACACACAAAATTGAGTTTTTTGTATTTGGAGCAATTATTATTAATCAACATAAACAGTCAATTAATGTATTCTGAATACTGGGATCACATTAATTGGTCCTTTTTAACAAAAATATTTAAACCGGTTTTTAAATTTTTTTTATGAAATAAGCGAGCTATATCGACAATATTAGTATCTGTACTCTTGGAAAATTTGTTACATCTTTAAAAATAATCTAAAATATCAATATTCCATGGGTATAGTGATAAATGAGGTCTAAATTATAAGAAAATGCATTTTCTACGAAAACTTGAAGAGATAGGTAAAAGATTGTATAATACAATTTGATAGACAATTACATTGTGCATCTGATTCACGCAAAATATATAGGGTGTTCCATTTAAATTAAACACACTATTGCCGTTTAAAGCTAGTAATTATTTAATATACATTTTTGGACACTCTGTATAAGGTAGTAAATTTTTTATTATTGCAACACAATATCTGGTCAATAAATAATCTTCAGTAAATATTTAGTATTAAAAACTTTGATACCTTTGGAGAAATGAAGCCTTAAAATTTTTACTGCAATTTCATAAAATTGAAAATATTTCAAAAATGGTAAGGTTTAAGTATGATGAACCTAATCAAATTTACCTTTATTTTAATCGTAGAATCTAAAAATAGAATAATATACAGCGAGTTCCATTACTTACAATTTGTAAAAATCTAATCGTTTAGCTACAATACTCCGTGTCGTATGTGGTGAACAACCCTGTATTTTATTCATAACAATATTTTGTCTCAATATATCAAATGATACGGTATATCGATATATTTTCAAATTTTGCCATCCCTAGTAATAATCGTGATAAGACGAATAAGTTAGTTATCTTTATGTTTTGTTTAAAATAGGTTAGGTTCCTGCATGATACCAGAAATCAGTGAATCACTGTCAGATAGAGATTTATCCTTGTCGCCGTTAAAAATTATCGTACATTATCGTACAACTCGACCTTGAACCAAAAATGAAGTTTAAAAATATTATGTATTCCCAAAAACTGTTTGAATTAATTTTAACTTCATTTTTTAGGGTTCCGTAACTCAAAGGGAAGAAACAGAACCCTTAAAGGATCGCTTTGTTGCCCGTCCGTTGGTCTGTCAAGACACTTTTTATCTCAGAAACGCGTGGAGGTATCCTTTTTTTGATAAACATTTTTTTCCTATACAAGTAATTAAGACTTTAGACCTATTTTTTTTCAAAAAGGGTAACAATAAATATGTTTTTTAAAAAATGTTAAGTTAAACCCTTGTTAAACTAAAATTTAACGAAATGACATAAACAAGAAAACTATGAAATATTGATATCATCAAAAAATATATGTCAACTTCCATTTTACCTCTGTTTTGTTCTACATTCGTATATTTTTATATTTTTTATAACATTTTATCTGTAGATTTAAAAGCATGGGGACTTCTGGGAATCCCCTACTTATACAGAGTGGGTTGATTCCGTCCACCGTGCACGAATCTTGTTTAATTGAATGAAACATGTTTCATTTCTTAATCTTTTTATTCAAAATTGTGTGTAATAACTTATGGCATAGCTTTATCCACGAAGTTTGTAGGATCTAAATATCCAAACCACCGCGTTTTAACTGACACAATTTCTAATTGTAATGAAGTTATCCTTATAAATGGGCTCTGTCTTTCTGTCATAAACCACAACCATAAACTGTACCCTCACAAGCTAGTTAGTTATTGCTAGCTTTAATTTTCTACAGTCACGAAATTGTTTTGCCACAGATAAGTTTCTAATTAATTATAATAGTATCTATTAAATTAAAATATTCGGCTAATATAAAAGGACACCAATAATTATTTTAATTGGCATTAAATTACCAGATAATAACGTCTTTATAAACGTGTAGTTATTAAATGGCAGGAAATATTTTATCAACAAATAATGCTGCAATATATTTTTTTTTATCGGAGGTGATATAGAGCGTCAAATAGACGTTATTCAGTTTTTGTATACCGGATTTTTTTCAAAAGTGTCTCATCACTATAACTTTTTTATTTTTTCGGATAAAAAAACGAAATTTGGTATATAAATACATGACATAAATCGGGATTGATTGGCGTATTCAATTACTTTCGGTCACTCCCTGTTTCACCGGAAATTACAATTTTTAAATGGTACTTTGGGTATTTTTTTACTTTATATGATAGAAAATGTCATTTAGAATAGAATGACATAACATATGTGAACTTTTAACATTTTCAGTTAAAAAAATAGCATTTTTAATTTTAATCTAGAGTGTCATGGCGGTGTTAAAACCATTAATTTTTAATCAAGGAGCTCTGGAAAAATAGATTTGATCGTCTAATGTTTTTCGTGTCTTTGTCTGGCCCGTTTAAAGACGGCCATATCGTATTTTTAATCATAACTAGCGATCGAATGAATTAGACTATCGAATGGTTACTGAATGAATGATTTCAACTATCGAATGATTTTATTCGAATAAAATCATTCATTCATTTGTATACTAAAGCATATGTGACAACCTCGCCGCGCGACTAAATGGTTATCGTTGCGCCACGAGCCACGACTATCGAATGCTTTTGATAAATGAAATTTATCAATCGTTTGATTTTTGTGTGCGCCAGTGCATTATTAGTTCTTCCAAATTTTTATAACTTCGCCTTTGTAAATACTATGCTATTTTTGCGGTTATTAAAATATTTAAAATACTAAAATAGTAGTTTTTTAATTGACGATTGTGTGCGGAGTGTATCCGGTGGCTGACCTTGAAACTGAGTTTTTGTATATAGTCACAGACACTACGCAGGCGCACATCTTCGATGTTGCCAGATTGCAAGTTATTTTGGATTTATTTTCAGTAGAGAAACAAATATGTGCTTTTCAGTGTGTTTTGTCAATATATACAGTATAATCGAATAAACAGCGTCTAGTTGGCTAGGAAATGTTAATGGGACATTTTGAGAAGTAGCAATTTTTAAGAGAGATGAGATGAACAATTAATTTTAAAAATACATATTTGTATTTTAGATGTTTTAATAATATGAATTAGTTGAACTTAATAATCATATTTAAGTAATGTGGTTAAGTAAATGGTTATCGAACTCAAATTTTGGGGTGAGAAAATTAAATTGAAAGTTTTACACGTGCCAATTTAAAAAAAAATTAACAATGTTTGTATTTTGTTTATGCTAATTCTCTTACATGTAGTTTTTTGCGAAGAAATATTTCATTTATTTTTTAAAGTAAATTTAAAAGTAAATATTATTTTTAAATAGTAATATAAGTAATAAAAAGTAATATAAAATAATTTTGATCAGCTAATTTTTTATTTATATTTTCCTTCCATTACACTGCATGCTTAGAAAATTAATAAATGTTTATATTTCATGATTTTAAAATTTGTTGTTAATATAACAAATTAGTTCTGTAATTATTATTATTTAATAAACCAACGTTGCCATTTAGAGACTATATTATTTTTAAATAGGATCTAATATAAATACTTTTGACTTCTATTTGTTGTTTATATTTTGCTACTACTTAAAAAAAATGTATATATTATTAAATGATTTTAAATTTTGTTGTTAATAGGTATAACATATTATTACTGTTATTATTATTTATTAAACCAGTCTTTGCTTAAAAACATTAAAAATAATTTTCCTACATCCAAAATAAAAAGTTTTATTGCAGTGTGACAACAGAATATTAATAAAAAAATATGCAAAACATATAGACATACTATCCCTAACTAACTAATGCTAAAGAATAATATTCTTTGCTAATACCAACTAATACGAATATATGGCAACAGCGCCCTTCATAATGTATTTTCTGTGTAAACACTAGCACCTCAATCAATATGTCCTCAGTAATGTGTCCTTATCTTTATTAGACTCCACAAAAAATCAAAAAGATGCCGGCTTCTTTCATAGCATTGCCACCGACCGCTGTCGGGTTTCTAGGAAAGAAACCTACGTCGCCGGACGACAACTAAAATCCAGTTTATATTTTATTAAAATCGATCCTGACGAATAAATGAATTTGATAAATGAATGAATTTTATAAATGAATGGTTTTTGTTGCCGAATTACTAGAATACAATATTTCAAGGCAGATGCCGCATCTATTCGATAATTTTTATTCGAATAGTTTTCGACGAATGTTTTCTTACTAGCTATCGAATTATTCGAATGAATTGCAACTATCGAATGTTTCGATAGTATTCATTCGATAGTTCCCACTACTAATCATAACTCAATTTTTTCAAATGGAACGAGGTTGGCTTATTAGTTATTAGCATATTTGAGTTCATTCATTCTATTCAGAATATCATTTTCTATCAAATGAAGTAACAAATACAGAGGGTGTCTTTTAAAAATCCAAAGTTGTAGTCATTTCCGGTGAAACAGGAAGTAACCAAAAACAATTGAATACCTTCATCAATCAATCCTCGTTTTTATGTCATATACTAAAATACCAAATTAGTTTTTTTTATCTGAAAAAATGAGAGGAATTATAGGGGTGAGTCACTTTCGAGAAACATCCTGTATAGCATACCGGCAATAAAGTAATGTATATTGTGTAGTCTACAGGATGTACCAAAAAAAAATTATCGCTGAAACTTTTCTTTATTTCTATTGTAAAATGAAATTAATACTCGTAGTATAAAAATCAGATTGATGGAGTCATGTTAAGTGTTAATTAGATTATATTAACGTAATTAATTAAGTCTTATTTGTTTCAGTTGTTATGCACAAAGACAAAGATGATCCTGTTGGAATGCATCGGACGCGCGAACTTACAGCCTTCGATCATACACCGATGGACGGGGAAATGTTCTTACAGGTAAGAAAATGTATTTCGTTCGTCACTCTAATAGTACTTTTGATACTCAAGTGCGATTTCAGCGTTTTGTTTATCAGATCGAGGGATCCAGTTATTTATTTTACCAGGATATAAGTTCCCGTCATCCCTTTGAGGGACATAAGGCTTCCAAGAGATGTTTCCATCTTATCCTATTCTGGATTGTCTGTTTGAAGTCTCCCCGTGTTTTCCCAATCACTTGAGCTTCAGAGGTTACTGTTCTTCTCCAGGTATTTCTTGGTCTTCCCCTGGCGCGCCTTCCCTGTGGATTCCATTCAAGTGGAAAATTCTTAGGGCTTGTTGTAGACAATTCTCTGAAATGGGACATGCATATCGACGTTTCGTCGAAGAAATTGAGCCCTGCCTGTTTTGCATTAAGATCTGTTTCTAAGGAGCTTAACTTGTCAGTGGCTAGAACTATTTATTATGCACTTTTTGAGTCGCACCTCAGGCATGCCCTTCCATTCTGGGGTACGTGTTGTGCGACTCAATTTGACCGCCTTTTCAAACTCCAGAAGAGAACTGTTCGATATTCACTGGGACTAAACAGCAGAACTCATTGCCAGGACTTTTTTAAAAAAATAAAAATATTAACTCTTCCTTCCTTATTTATATTTGAATCCGTTTGCCTAATACGTAAGCATGTATCAGCTTCTCAAGAAAGGCCATCTCACACTTATCCACTCAGGAACGCCGGAGCAAGATCTTTATCTACCTACCCCACGCTCAGAGTTAGTTAAAAGTTCAATATTATACAACTCGAAAAAAATGCACAATCACCTGCCATTTGAAATCAAATCCATAACATCATTTTCTTCATTTCGCAAAGCATTCAAATCTTATTTACTAGACAAGGCTTTCTACGTCGTAAATGACTTATATTTTGATAATCGAATTTGATCTTGTAAACACTGGTCTAATGTTTGCTATTACTATATTTAACAATGACATCGAAATAAATTTATTAATAAATAATATTTTCTTGCCTTTAGCTGTGTATTTTTTCTAATTTCAAAAAATCGAAAGTAGAGAAAAAAATAAAAAGTAAAGAGAAAATTCTTTTTGCCTGTCTTTAAGGGGAGAATCAAGCTCCACTCCCTCAACCGGTTTCTGGGCCTACCCTTCATCAGGAGGGCTGTCCAGGGGTTGGTTCTCACCGATACGACAAGCAAAACCTTTTCAATATTAACAGATGATGTCGTATAGTGTCGGTGAGATATTAGTGCATCTCCCGTCAAAAGATGGTAAAGAGCGTTTTTCGGCCCGCGCAAATATATATGAAATGAACAAAATTCTTACAGCTTTAGTGTATATTAATAAATAATATTTTCTTGCCTTTAGCTGTGTATTTTTTCTAATTTCGAAAAATCGAAAGTAGAGAAAAAAATAAAAAGTAAACAGAAAATTGTTTTTGTCTGTCTTAAAGGGGGGAACCAAGCTCCACTCCCTCAACCGGTTTCTGGGCCTACCCTTCATCAGGAGGGCTGTCCAGGGGTTGGTTCTCACCAATACGATAAGCAAAACCTTTTCAATATCAACAGATGATGTCGTATAGTGTCGGTGAGATATTAGTGCATCTCCCGTCAAAAGATGGTCTTTATATAGACCATCTTTAACGGGACAAAGACCATCTTTAACGGGATCTATGTTCTTCTCCACAGTTCTTCGTTATTGATTGGGTCAGAAAATTCTCAATATTCTTCGAAGGGACTTTAACAAACAGCTGCAGGCGATCCATGAGACCACGCGTAACCTTCCATGTTTCGCATCCATAGAGCAAAATAGATTTCACATTGCTGTTGAAGAGCTTGACTTTAGTTTTTTTATATGCAGGAGTTCCCCACAGCTTTAAGCGTACCAAAAGCTCTTTGTGTCTTCGAGATTCTTTCCTCTATATCTTTCTCCGCGCCCCCATCGCTGCGTACCATACTTCCTACCTACCTATACTAAAATTCATCAACTCTTTCGATGGCGAGGTATAGATCTTGGTTGTTGAGAGTATTTGACCTCATTTCTTTGGTTTTCGCTACGCTGATTTGAAGACCGACTTAATTAGCTTCCTCTTGGAGTCTAAGAAGTTTTTGACACATATCCGAATGTGAATGGGGAAAGACACATAGATCGTCTGCACAATCCAAGTCTTCTAGCCTACTTAAGAGTCTCCATTGTATCCCTAGCGGTTCTTTAAATTCTCAGCCCCCTGTCTTACACCTACTGCAATAGAAATTTTCTCCCCAACTTAACCTTTATGTAACACACAGCTTGTAATATGTGATAGATCCCGAAAATTCGGTCTGATAAACATAATGCAGAAATTCGCATACCTTTTAACTTCTCTGTATAGTACTGTCTCTGTTTTTCAAACAATTGATTTAAAATTACTAAGTCCACTATTACACTGTCAAATTTCTTTGTCAAAGATATATATTTGATGAACAATTTGACAGTGTTAATATTGATATTTTATAAAATCACACATAGCTGTCAAATTCTTTGATAAAATAAAATCTTTGTCAAAGAAATTTGATCATGTAATAGTACTCCTAAATATTTACATTATTTTTTTCAGGCTCTCAATGGCTTCCTAATGATTCTCACCTGCGAAGGAGAAGTGTTTTTCGCTACACACAGTATAGAAGGATATTTGGGGTTTCACCAGGTAAAAAACAATAATATCTTGAGGGATGTTCACTATAAGTAATAATAAAAAGTATCAAAATGCTATCGTATTGATTTATGCATTTGCCGACATTAGGTAAAAAATACAAGAGAAAATTGCGCTTTGCTGAACCTTTCAATGTCATGTTTCGAAATCTAAAACATCTAATTACTTTCGAAGATTTATTTGAGAATAAGAAACAAATTTTGCCGGGTTTTATTTTAATGTTTTTCTGACTTCTTTCTTTTAGCTTCGCGTAACGCTAGCTCGACGCTAACGCTATCGAAAGGTGCGTACAATTTATCTTAGATAGGAACTATCGAAAACAGGAAATTGCCATCCTATCCGATAGTCAAGCAGCACTTAACGCGATCAACTCAGTAACCATCAATTCGAGTTGGTCAAAGAATGCCTAGAGAAGCTCAACAAATTAGGCAAGGAAAATAAAGTCCTCCTACTATGGGTGCCTGCTCACCAAGGGATAGAAGGCAATGAAAAGCAAATGAGCTAGCTAGGAAAGGAGCGAACACTCCACTAACTGGACCAGAACCGTTCTGTTTTCCAAACGGGAACCAACTAAAAGCGGAACTGAAGAATCTGGAAGACTCCATCCGTAACTTGGAATGAGTGTCCTCCAACGGTCTAAGACACTCGAAAAAGTTCCTCAGAACTTAAGACCGAGAAAAATCAAAGGTTTTCCTTGATTTAAGTAAAAATAATCTTCGGATTGTCACGGGGTTTCTAACAGGACACTGTCTCCTCAACGAACACCTCAGTAGGCTGAAGCTGAGAAACAACGGCGAATGCAGATTATGTGGGGAAAATGGGGAAACACCAGAACACCTTATCACTGAGTGCGCCGAGACGACGACCATTCGTGCCATGAACTTTGGTACGTCTGATGTCGAGGATGGAGAGCTGGCTTCTGTGGAGCCGTCTCAGATACTGACTTTTGTTAAAGCCCTGAGATTGTATGATGAGTTATAACTGGTTATAACTCAAGAAAGGGGAAAACACAATAGATCTATAAGGTCGCGGTGATTAACTCCCCTCCTAAACATTCTACATTCTACAACGCTAGCTCGTGTGTTGCGGTCTTGAATTTTTACTCCCATCGTTTCTACGTTTTACTCCAATCGTTACTACCAAAACTAATTAAAATAATATTTATTCTTGTTCCTTTTAGTCTGACATAGTGCACCAGTCGGTCTACGAGCTGGTCCATTCCGAGGACAGGGAGGAGCTGCAACGTCAGCTGATGTGGAACTCCTTTTTGCCTCCCGAGTCGGCCAACATGGGCCTCCAAGACGTCTTGCTCCCAGAGAACGCCCATCTTTTGGAGAGGAGTTTTACCGTGCGCTTCCGATGTCTCCTAGACAATACTTCCGGATTTTTGGTAAGTAGATACTTAATTGAGGGGTTCAGAAGTGAACTGGATCAAGTCCTAGAAGATAATAAGTTTGGAGAAAATGAGAGATAAATTTTTTTAATGTTACTTAATTAAAATAAAAAAAGCTAGAGAAGAAAACTTGACACAATGCTTTATTATATTTTATCTACGTCAGTGAGTTAAGAAGCTCTTAACTCACGCATTTTGAGTGAGTTAAGAGCTTCCTAACTCACGCATTTTCATTACCGCACTCCTTGTTTAGATGACTACCAAAGAGAAAAAAATATTTTGTAAAACATTTATTTTGCACTAAATACCTACTAAATACAAATAAACTGTTCTATTGATAATAATTATAAAAACATGAAAAGTTATTTATTATAAATGTTAATGATACAGTTTGAACAATCTTTCAAGTAAATGCCTGATGAAGCATGTATATTCATTTTAATAGATATCATAGTACGTATCATTGAATACAAAAAGCCCAGATAAAAGTAACGGATAAATTGGAAAAATATGTTATGAGTACCTTTTCATTTCCATAGTTGTGTACTTTTTTTTCGGTGCACCATTTTTCATACTTGGAGTATGTATATTCATACTTCTGTTTCGATCTTGCTAGAAGCAATCCAGAAATGGATTATTCGTTTCGAAAAAACTATTCGTTTTAGAAACACAGTTTAAATGGCGCAATTGTAGGGCTCCACAAGCACTGTCCTCACAGTGGTCAACCATCATTTTACAATTTATCATTTTCGAGATATTTAGGATTTTTAGATTTTGCAAATTTTTGACTTTGCATCGATTTCTACAACACTCTGTACAATATTAAGAAGTAAAAAAATTCTCGTTAATGAGCACCACCTATGCTCTATCCAACAATGTATAACTAATTACAGACAAATGAAGGATATGGGAGATATTTTAAAAAAAGAAAAAAAAAGGAAAATTTTCAAAAAAAATTGAGGCTAAAATTGAACTTTGAGAACACAAGGTTTAGGATCTAATTTTGATTTGGCAAATCTTCCTCCTACAGAAGACTCCAGTAATCAACACGTTTTTAGAGTATATTTACAGGTACAAAGCTGGAGAGGAAACGAGTTAGATCCACTTTAGTGGGGGTGGTTTGCCAGTGGCAATGAGCTTTTCCCAGTGACTTAAACGTGTTTGGGCTTCCTATAATCGGAAATGCAGCAGTTTGTGTAAAAAATGCAATCAAGCCTGTCTAAATGCACCCAGAGTCGATTATGAAGAAGTGGAAATAGATGATGACGTGTAAATACAAATGTGAAGAAGTTATTATTGTATTTGTAGTTAAAAGCTATTAAAAGTTGAATTTATGCTTTTCTCCAAAAAAATCCAAGAAAATCTACAAGAAATACCCGTAAAGGATTTTTTTGGAGAGATGAATCCGCCACATAGGTATAGACATTTTTTTTTCTGTTGGAATAAAAATAATTTTAGTGTTTATTATTATCTATAATTAAGAATAACCATTTTTTAAATTTATTTTTAATGTTTTTTTTTAAATTCATATGTTTAACCTGAAACCAAAGGCAACTGTTTTTATTTTATGTCAATCGAGCTAAAAATAAAGTATTTTTACATTCTGAATAAGTTTTATTTTTATTTGTATCCTTAAGGATACATTCACTATACACTATATCTCCCGCACTACTCAACCAATCATAAACTCAAGGACTGTTTCAAAATCGGAACAAAAGAGCGCATATTCTTTAACCTTTTTTTGCTACGGAGTACGGTTCAAAAAAAATTGAAGAAACGCAAGTCGATTTCTTTTATTATTTTCCTTTTTTTATTTTTGACAGAAAACAACCTGTCAAAATAGTTTTATATTTTTATTTCATTCTTTAGTCCAAAACAATAGTTGACAATATACTCCGTTTTTTTTTCAGGTAAGATTTCGACAGACGATGACAGAAGAAAAGCAGATGACGTCCCATACCAATCTATTTATTTTACTAAAAAAAGTTTCTAATAATTTTTAAGTTATCTATGGATGGGTTTAAATATAAATCCGTCATGCGTCGTGTCTTGTTGTTTTTAACCAGTTTTATTGGTTTATTTAAAAAATGACAGATCGTATTTCAATTTTATTGGTTTGACGGAACGATGAACGACAAACGGACGCCGATGCGTATGAACTCGCCTTTAGATTTTTGTCATTTTTGACGCTTGTCAAAGTCTTGCCAAATTATAGGTTATAATTTAAACAAATTATAGGTTAACTTTTGTTAAATACCCTGCGTTTTGGAGATGATGCATTTTGATTCGTATTATTACGTGTGTTTTGTGTCTTTTGAAGTCAAGTGGAGGAAAAATCGAGTGAAAATTAACTGTAGACCCAGAGCACAGTTTATGGTTAATACTCGCTGCCCAGGCAGAAAGTCTTATACACCAATGAAGTTGCCATCGATAAAGTTTGTATACCATTTCGTCGTAGATAAGTGCATCTCGTATATGGTAGAAGGATCAAACTAAACACATACTAAAAACTGGAGTAGCTGTAAAATATCGACATCACACGATAGGTAAATAATGGATTTTAGTACTGCAGAAAAATAATGTCAAAAGGTACTGGTTTAAAAAATTAAGATTAAAGTTAATTAATCAACCTTTAAGGTATAAAATTTGGTAGGTGTTATTATTAATAAAATAGTTTGTTTTATTTACCTATGTTGTTTTATTTATTCCTGTGGAATATTACAAATTTGTATTTGTACATAAGTTATATTGATAAATATAATCATAAATGCGGGTAGTTTCATAAAGCTTGAAAGTAAATAATAGTTCTTTTTATATTTTTTTGGTATGTAGTGTCTTGTTCTTGTTTGTTTTGTATTAACACATACCGTTGTTATTAAATAAAATAACTCGATTACATTTTTTCAGTTTTATACAGTTTTTTTCACAATATTTTGAAGTAATCACTTGTCATCTTGTCAATCAAATTTTAAATATATCCTGCTATGCGTTCCAGTTGTACCAACTTATTTCTTTGTGAAATAAAATAAACTACTTTGAAATTAAAATGACAGACACATCTATCACTGTCAAGGATCTTCTCGTTGGACAGACTACTTGACGAAAATCGGTTAATAAATAAGAAAGTTACAATTTTTTTAAAGAATAGGATCAGATGCCAAGAAAAACACAACCTAACTTATTGATGTAATAATAGTGAAAATAATGATAAACCAAACTATACTTTCAGAATCGATAGGATCAGACCTTTCAGATGGCTGATAATCTGATTCGCTTGGTCCAAATGGCTCAGACTTTGCTTCATTGTCATCCATTTTATCAAAAAATATTGTTTTAGCTCTAAACTTTGGCACGTGTGTTAAAATAGCGAACAGCGTTAAATTTTATGGACTTGGTCCATTTCAATTCTGAAAGCAATTAATAGAATATTCAGAAACCAAGCAGAAATAGGCCATAGCTGCTTAATGCGTGAAGTATGACTTGATTCATTTTTCTACTGGAAAAAACAATATTTTATAAACTTATAAAGACGATTATCTTAAAATAGTAGGAAATTGAACTTGCTCCATTTCAATTCTGGCAAACTCCAGTTATGTTTGGTCAATATTATTTAGCAATTTCCTAGGACTACTGGACCACCATGTATTTCTGAATCGATTTACATGGATAGATATCGTGTTATACAGGGTGTTTCAAAACAAATGCGAAAAACTTCAGGGGGTGATTCCTTGTTCAAAATAAAGGGTAGTTTGCTTCATAAACGTTGGGTTAAAAGTCAACCATTAGGGAGATATCGCGGTACAAAGATGGCGGAAAAATAATGTTCTTATTTTTTATCTTGAAAACGAAAAGAGATAGACTAATAAAATTTTACGGAAGCATTACTGTTATGAAAACACACTTTCTGGTAATTTTTCACTTTTTAAAATGAGTGGAAGGGGTTGAAATAAACTACCCCTATCATTCTTGTTAATGAAATTTAAAGAAAAAATCTTATCAACCACATGCAAAAAAAAAATTAATTTTGATAGTTTAGTTTATTTAGAAACTTTTTTTTTATCTCTTGTGTTTTTGATAAAACTCACCGATTTGAAATTAAAAAATAACATGTAAAGCATTACATGTCAGGACAAAAAACATTTTTAGATAAAGAATCTAGTGGGCAGCTGTAATTTTTTAGGAAAAAATCTAGTCGGCCGCTGTCACTTTTTAGGATGTTTCTAATATTGTTTTATTTGACATTACCCTACTGCAATACGTTATTATCTAGATTATTATTATTATCATTATTATCACTAGATTCTTAATCTAAAAATATTTTTAGTCCTGACATGTAATGCTTTACATTTTATTTTTTAATTTCAAATCGGTGAGTTCTATAAAAAATATAAGAGATAAAAAAGTTTTCTAAACAAACTAAACTATCCAAATTAATTTTTTTTGCATGTGTTTGATAAGATTTTTCTTTAAATTTCATTAACAAGAATGATAGGGGTAGTTTATTTCAACCCCCTTCCACTCATTTTAAAAAAGTGAAAAATTACCAAAATGTGTTTTTCATAACAGTAATGCTTCCAGAAAATTTTTCATTAGTCTGTCTCTTTTCGTTTTCAAGATAAAAAATAAGAACATTATTTTTCCGCCATCTTTGTACCGCGATATCTCCCTAATGGTTGACTTTTGACCCAACGTTTATGAAGCAAACTACCCTTTATTTTGAACAAGGAATCACCCCCTGAAGTTTTTCGCATTTGTTTTGAAACACCCTGTATATTGTATGATTTTCAGAGATTGGATATACGGGGAAGAGTGAAAGTTCTTCACGGACAAAACCGAAAGTCGGACGAGCCGCCCCTAGCACTGTTCGCGATTTGCACACCGTTTGGGCCGCCATCTTTACTAGAAATACCTCAAAAAGAAGTGATGTTCAAGAGTAAACACAAATTAGACTTAGCCTTGGTGTCTATGGATCAAAGGTAAAAAACAATATTGGGCAATAGCACAACTATACTTTTAAGCAATATTTATTTTTAGAGTTGGGTTAAAACGTGAATTCGCATTCACATTAGCTTGTGAACGTGAATGTTACCGTTTATGATAATTTTCTCGTTTAGATTATGCTGTTGTCGTGATGTGATTGTTTTCACAGTTAACCAGCCCGTATTTTTTTTCACAGTGTTCTACAGGGTGGTCCGAACTGTATTCCGAAAACTTTGGTGACATATTCTGCAGATAAAAATAAGTAAAAAAGTTCATATAAATGTATGTCCTAAAACGCTTAGTTTCGGAGATACAGGGTGTAGAAGTTTCATTTTTATTTCTAATATTTTTCTAAATATCTTGAGAACGGTTGCTCGTGGCGATTTTTACCAAGAGACATTTTTTACGTAAAAATTCACGGAAATGTATATTTTTTTACCCAGTAGTTTTATATAGGTACGGACAAAAAGTTATTACTCTTCAAAACAGTTAAAACACATATAGGTGGCGCCCCCTACAAATAGGAGTCATATTGACATCAAAATCAAATTTCTCATATCAAAAAACTTCCAGACACCAATTTTCATCCAAATATTGACGTTACTTCAGAAATTATTTGGAAAAAATTGAAATAAAAATGAAACTTCTACACCCTGTATCTCCGAAACTAAGCATTTTCGGACATATATTTATACCAACTTTTTTACCGTAAAATGGGGTGAATAGAAAGAGTTTCGTAGGCTATTAGCGATATACCGGTTGATAAAAATGTGGTATTACTTTCCCGAATATTTTAAAACATGGGTCTTTGTTTGTTCTTTGCGTATACATATAATTTGATTTTTGAAAAATATGCATATAAATATTAAATAAAAATAACATTTGTGTTTCTATTCACCTGCTATTCGGGAGAATAGAAACACACATTGATGTTAAGGTTTTTATCTATTATACTTCCAACAAGGTGATTAGAAACAGTAAATTATTACATATTTAAGTAGGTTTAACAATCATTAACAATACATATAATATAACAACTTACATGTAACAGCTTATGTATTACTTTAAAAATAAATATTTTATTTATAAAGTTTTCGCGCCATACAAAATAGGTGATAAATCGATCTCACATTTATTGATCAGTTGATTGACAGAAACAGTGCTGCCACAGATAAAAATATAGTTTTACATTTTATTGTGTATTACCAATGATAGAAAAATTAGATATGTCGACTCTTTTTACTTTGAATATTTTTAATCGTGATTTGATTTTTTCAGAAATTTTGTTTCTATTCACCACTATGTTTCTATTTCTATTCCCCCATTTTACGGTACCTATTTTTATCTACAGAATATGCTGCCGAAGTTTCCGGAATACAGTTCGAACCACCCTGTATACTAGGTATTCTTTTATTTAATTATTCGTATTTTATAACTTTTAGGGGGAAATTATTATTAGGATACTCGGATTCTGAATTGGCCAATATGGGAGGCTATGATTTGGTACATTACGACGATCTAGCTTATGTAGCCAGTGCTCATCAAGAACGTAAGTAAACAATTACATAAATTATGAAAAAATGCCTTTTTAAAAATAAGTTTGATTCTGTTCTTTAAACGGTATCATAGTAATCTTATAAATTTCAGTCCAAGATTTAGTAAAGTTCTGGACAGTAAAAGAAATTAGCCATGTTTTTGTAGAACTGTCTTCCTCTTACCCTTGCCCCGTTGTGCCAAATTCGTTTGTCAAACTAAATATTATATATGTTTGATGTTCATAACTTGTTATTATATGATGGTCATTTTCTCATCAAATTATTTTGGGTTATAGTATTGAAAACAGGAGCATCGGGAATGATAGCATACAGGTTTCAAAAGAAAGATGGTCAGTGGCAATGGCTCCAAACTAGTTCCAGACTGGTGTACAAAAATTCCAAACCTGATTTTGTGATTAGTACGCACAGGCCTTTAATGTAAGTTCGTATAACTATATATACAGTTCAAACCAAATAAACTTTTTGTCACGTCATTAAGCTTGACCGACACAGCGTTGCCTACTTTTATATACAGGGTGAGTCTTAAATAAGTGCAAATATTTTCAGGGCTGGTAGATCTCGATAAAAGAAACATATTTTCTCTTTAAAATGTAAAACTATGATGTAGGGTAGACGTGCGGTAGACTCAATATATTTTTTTTATTTTACGTTGTGAATAAATGTTGGTAGTTATTAAAATTGTTATAAAAATATAAAATTCTAATAAAAATAGTTAAGCTATAATAATTTTTTATAACCATAAACATCCGATACGCTACTGAAGCAGGTAAGTGAAATTGACGTATCTAAATTCTTTGAGATCTAATCTTTGACAAGTAGTAAATAAAAGCAAAAATGCAAGAAAAAATATATAATTAGTTAATTTAAGTGAATTTCATAAATGATCGGTTTACTACACGTATGTATATTATATAGTCACTTACTAGCGAAAAGTTGTTCCATTATTTCACGCATTTTTGCCGAGATCTACCGCAAGCTACACAACCAACTATTTTAGTCTTCTTCGATAAATCGCGATAGTGTCACTGTTAATTTAAGTTCTGCCACAATTTCCATCTAGATTTACTAACTTTATACAACTATCAGTAGTAGAATAAATAATAAATAACATAAAAGAAGCTCTGTAAAGACTGACAAATCCACAAAATTTTTAATCAAATTCAGATGTGTCAAATGAATCGTCAAACAGAACTGTCAAGGATCCCCACCCTAGAGTCCTTTTTCCGCCCACCATGCATGACTACATGGATAGGATTATGCTCCTTCCTTAGTCTTCTTATTCAAAGACCTGCTAAAAGTAAATGACTTTTACCATCAGTGAGATAATGTCACATTTTAGGCACTGATAGCATGCGTTAAAAATTACATTTTTACTGACGTTTGTAAAAAAAATATATTTTTTTGAAAAAATTTTGAGAGCCACCGGATTTTTTCTGTATTTGCATCCCTTTTATTGCCGTAACCATAGAGTAAAGCCGTAACTATGGCAATATCAGAGATTAAGAAATTATACCGTGGGAAAATTTGTGGTGAACAGGCAGTTCTAAAAAGTTTTCGAAAAATATAAAGGGAAATTTAAAAGAAAATGCACGATTTTCAACATCTTTTTTAGCGAAAAAACCTCATAGACGTGTTCCTGGGGTCGATATTAGAGGTGGGAATTCTAGTTCCTTGGGAGGAACTAGTTCCTTAGTTCCTCCAGAGGAATAGTTCCTTGAACTAGGTCTTTAGTTCACAATAGTTCCCGACTAACATTGACATCCCCTTGCTTGCTAATGCGTTTCGTTGTCAGTCAGAACTATTCACAGTATGATCTGTATAATTTTATAATGTACGGAGATATAACGAGACGTGTAATTGTGTATGTTAAAAACATATAGGTAAGTTTTATAGCAGATAAAAAAAAAAAAAAACTCAAATCAGAATTTAAAAACTATATCACAAATCAATTGGTACAAATATTACAAAATTTTACGAAAAATTGCATTTTTCCTCACTTCAAGCTTTTTGTTTTTGTCTAAAAATTCAGAATATCTACTTTGTTTTATAAGATATTTCTTAATTTGGGGACCTAAAGTGAAACATTCCCATAAAATGGTTAAAAAAGAAATTAAAAGTCAAAAACAGTATCCACGACAATTTTCTGTGGTAATTACGCCGCGCCGCCGGATGTGGCAATAGACAAGGCCGAATCCATCGTCGTTGCCTTGTATTATATCTCGGATCTGCCGACTGAATAGATTCCCGTGAACTAGTCTTTTAATGGTTCCTCTATGTCCGGATCCGATAACATACAGCTGGCACTCCCCACGTCTGCCTAGCATCAATTGCGCTGGCTAATCCATACGTAAACTAGTCTTTTATTTAGTTCCTTTAGGTCCGGATCCAATAACATACGGCATACGGCTGGCACTCCCCACTCCTGCCTAGCATCGATCGCGCTGGCCCGATCCGTTCGTACGTAAACTAGTCATTTAGTTTAGTTTCTCTAGGTCCGGATCCGATAACGTACGTCTGGCACTCCCCACTCCTGCCTACCATCGGGCTACGCGCGCTAGCCGATCCGTCGCTGTCGCATATTATTCTATATCGGACACAGTCTCGATCCCGGAATAGGTCCTGAGGAACTAGTTCTTTGAGAAACCAGGAACTAGTTCCTTTCATTCCGGGGTCGAAATAGTTCATTGGAACTAGTTCGTTCACGAACTACACACCTCTAGTCGAAATATACCACCCCTGAAAATATTTGCACTTATTTAAGACTCACCCTGTATTTTCTTTTAATCAAAATATTTTAGAAAACAAATTAATTATAAATATATAAACAGTTATTATTTACATCAACAAAACAGACATACATATGATATTACTACCGCTAAGATGATCTATTTTGTAATCAGGTCATATTTTTAGGGAAGAAGAGGGTAGGGATCTTCTCGGCAAACGCACCATGGACTTTAAAGTGAGCTACCTGGACGCAGGTCTTCCCAATTCGTACTTTCCAGAAAACGAGCAATTGCTGACATCTCCAACAGCGCACACGTCAGTTCCTTGTACGCCCACTAGAGTCAACCGCAGGTAAAACAGATACAATCATTAAAATTTACAAACTTGGTTATAGTAATAAAATCGTCATTAGAGTAAGTTAGACTATCAGTTGAACACAAATATATTATATAGTTCAGGACATATAATTTTTCTAGCAAAGATAACTATAGTTTTCTTTGCTTCTACTCTATCATCTAATTTACTAGATTAGATGGATTGAAAATATAAAACAGAGGTCGTACTGAACGCATGACCGTATCTGATTTAGGTACAAAACACAACTAAGGGACTTTCTTACCACATGTAGAACGAAGCGCAAGTTGTCGCACGGGTCCAGTTCCAGCCAAGTGACGTCACCGACGACCAATCCGGCCGTAACTACGTCCGTAGTGCCTTCGATGCCGCCAACGGTAAGACTAAGCACTGTTCACACTGTATAACCAGATTATAACGGTTTTCTCATTGCTATGCTACACTTTGAATGATTTCTCAAAATTGATTATTGAAACTGACTATTAATTATTTATTACCTAACTGAAATTATTTTTTACATTCTCTTCAGAGTTTATTACGCTGTACTGTTCGGGTCGCTCTCAGGGGTCGGGTAAAGCGGGGGCTGAAAGAAATATACATTATAATTCAGAAATCTGCCTAAGCCTTAGCCCGATCCTGTCGTGTTAATCCACACTCAAAATTCCAAACACACGCGCTTTGATTAAGGCTTGATTAAGATTTGGAGAGTTTCAGCATTTGCCATGAAATAGCGAGCAATTTGTTACAAAACCATAAAAATTATACATCACTGTAATCACAAAACTTCAATCTATCTCCGTTTTGTAACGGAATTTTAAATTATGTCTTTATTTTCGAGAAAATTTAGTCCAAACATAAGGAATATTTTGTTGATGTACAATAAGGATGTAGTATAATCCTTTATCATTAATTTCCTTCTTCATTTGTGTAAAAATATCTAGCCAGTTTTAGATAAAACGTTAAATGCCGAACGCTTATTTTGCTACTTTTTCGGACTAGTGAAATGAACTCAATTGATTCTTTTTTTATTTTGATTTGATTTTTGACAGGTTGAATATATTGCCGACGGCTGCACAGCAACTTACAACATGTACACAGCCCCCTATGCCACGGCCACGCCCGATCATAGTTTGAGCTACATGACGCATTCGGCTACCAATTTCAACCATACCCTCTACCCAACGGCAACAGCGCTGGATAATCGATATTTGACCACAACTGAAAACTTATTCCATCAGTATAGGTAAAAAATTCAGTAGATACTAAATGTATTTAAAGATTTTATTGATTTGTCAGTTACTTTGTATTTTCTGAATTTTTTTGTATTTTAATCAAAACCTAAATATTGGTCACTATCTCAAAATTAGACATATGAAGAGAAAACGAAATACTGCCACTAGATTCCGTGTAAAAAGTTCTATAAGAATCCATGTTTAACTTAGATTGAGATTTTTGACAACTGATATACCGTGCTTGCCACTCTTATTTTTGGGTCGGTATTTACATGTGTGGAAGTAAATCGCATAGGGATCTTAAGTCGAAGTGAGAGAAATGCGACGGTGTGCTGTTGCGGCGTTGCCACATTGCTCCGGTACGCCTGTCCCTATCAAGTAAAGTAAAATCGCGATCGCAAATCGCTTATTTTTAAAAGACTGTTTTTTCGAATAGATAACCAGGTAAAATCATTAGATATGTTTCTGATCTTCTGAAATGGAATTATAAGGATATCGTTAGGGTGTTCATATTTTTCATAACGAGAAAACGTCAGCAATCGCGATAATATAAAAACTCAACTTTTAAACACATAACACGCTACTACTCAAGAACCATTTTAGATATTGAAACTTTTTTTTTATTTTGGGGTTCGGATATTTTACAAGATTTTTAAATCAAAAAAATTCAACAGGCTTGTTTTTTTTCATTCAAAATTTTTTAAAAACCCGTCCATTTACTTTCAGTGCATAGCAATTTTCAGCAATCGTGTAACTTTTTTATTTTTAAAGATTTTCACATACTGTCTGCGAAGCAGATATAGCAGAAATATTAAGAAAGTTTTTGAAAAAAAACTACAATCAATTGTTTCTAATGGATTTCGAGATATCGATTTCTAAATTCAGAGTTCTAATAGCGCGACCACTGTCGAACACCAACCAATTCCACTTATTTTTACCAAAAGTGCAAGTGTTTCTAACTTGCACTTAAAAAATTACAATCTATAGGAAAAATTACGACTTGTTAATAAATAAACAAATGAAGTATCAAGAGACGTAATTAAATCGTAAAGCTGAACGCATGATATACACCCATCTCTAGAATTACTGATTGTAATTAGTACAGTAGATAGGAATTAGTACTGATTGGGTTGACCGGTTGACCGCGACGAATCTGCTGTATCCCCTTCCACGTCTATTAGCAATGTGCACTGATTCTTGGTTTATTTCATACGTTTGGCAACGTTTTTACTGTTCTCTCTTTGTTCAGCATATTATAAACGCATTCTACTCTTCTTACATACGGAAATCTCGACCCAAAACTAACCTTTATCAGCCCTTAGTATGAGAGATGCTTGAAAAAACATATAACTATCGATATATATAGAGAAAACCACATCCCTACTCCCAAATTAACATAACTTTTTGCTTGTACCTTTAGACCTCTAAGTACGTACTACCCCGAATACCACCACGCCACACCAACAACCCCTTATAACGGTTTCCTAGACGTCACTCCACGAACGTACGATCCAGCCGCTACAACACCAACCCATCACACCACGTACCGGGCTACTGTCATGGACGACAAACTGTACCCGTGTCATCAGCAGGTAAGACCAAAAATCAATTTCGAATTGTCTAAAGAGTAAAAATAGTTCGAAATGAGGTTATAAAATAAAATTAACTCATCGTATCTTACTAAAAAGATTAAGGAAGGGACATGTCAAGAAACTTTTAGGTTGAGCGCGATGGGGACCTAATATGGCTGACTTAAATTCCGATTTATCAGTGCCGATGCCGATCTAAGTTTAAAAATTGTTATAAAAATATACAGGGTTGTCCGAACTGTATTCCGGAAACTTCAGCAGCATATTCTGCAGATAAAAATAAGTAAAAAAGTTTGTATAAATGTATGTTATACAATGCTTAGTTTCGGAGATACAGGGTGTAGAAGTTTCATTTTTATTTAGATTTTTTGCAAATAATTTATGAAGTAACGTCAATATTTGAATGAAAATTAGTGTCTGGGAGTTTTTTGACAATAAAAATTTTATTTTGATGTCAATATGACTCCTACTTGTAGAGGGCGCCACCTACATATTATTTAACTTGTTTGAAGAGTAATAACTTTTTTTCCGTACCTGTATAAAACTACCGAGTAAAAAAATATACATTTACGATGCTTTTTCAAGCTTCTTTTTCAAAGCTTTTTTTATTTCTTTGTTAATTATAATACTTATTGACTATTTCCGTTCTAAATATCTTGAGAACGGTTGCTCGTAGCGATTTTTACCAAGAGACATTTTTTACGTAAAAAGTCACGGAAATGTATATTTTTTCACTCAGTAGTTTTATACAGGTACGGATGGAAAGGTATTACTCTTCAAACCAGTTAAAACACACATGTAGGTGGCGCCCTCTACAAATAAGAGTCATATTGACATTAAAATAAAATTTCTCATGTCAAAAAACTCCCAGACATCAATTTTCATCCAAATATTGACGTTATTTCACAAATAATTTGGAAAAAGTCGAAATAAAAATGAAATTTCGACACCCTGTATATCCGAAACTAAGGATTTTAGAATATACATTTATACGAACTTTTTTACTTATTTTTATCTGTAGAATATGCTGCCGAAATTTCCGGAATACAGTTCGGACAACCCTGTATATTTATATTAAAAATAGATAAGTTAATAATTATTAACACAAATATCAGATACGATACTTAGTCTCAGAGTCTAACCGATCATAATGTAAGTAAATGTGTATCTTCTGTATACTCATAAAAAAAACTTGTCATTTAAATCGGTCATGTTAAAGCTCTATCGCTGTCGCGCTAGTTTTTCATATACACACATGGCCAAAATTATTGCATATAACGATATTCTTATTTTATTTTGGACCTAATATGATTCTTTTTATATTTTTGGACATTTTGGCTTACTACACGACTAACTAATATAAAATTAAAAATCTAAGTGCAACGAGGCGGTTATTATAATTTTATTTCATAATGAGTGAAAATCAACAAAAACAAATTTCATTTTAAACAGAAAATATTGAAAACAATTTTAATTATTTCTCAAAATTAATAGTCTGTATTGCCTCCTCGAGCCTCAATGCAAGCTGTGAGACGACGTGGCATGCTCTCAATTAAGTTGTCCAGAAGATGTTGAGGAATGGCTTCCCATGTTTCGCGCGCAGCAATTTTCAATTCATTTAAGGTACGGGGGATCATTCCTTTTGGCAATATGGTGTTTTAGCATGTTCCAAGCATGCTCGATCACGTTCATATCTGAAGATATCGGTGGCCACCACAGTTTTCTTATACCCTCTTCCTCACAAAATTCGCGAACCGCTAAAGTGCGATGGGGAGGAACATTATCGTCCATGTAAACAAATTCATCCTCCACTGCCCCTCGAAAGGGACGCACAATAGGCTCTAAAACGTCTCTAAGATATGAGGCACCTGTCATTGTGCCATCAATAAAATCAAGAGGAGTTCGAGCTCCGTGCATTATACCTGCCCATACCATAATGCTTCCCCCTTGAAACGGGATACGGGGTTGAGCTGCATTCAAACGTGCTCGTCTTCCAGATGCTCTCCAGACCAAAGTTCGTCCCGAGTCTGACACTAGGCCTATTCTTGTTTCATCACTAAACATGACGAAATTCCAATTAGGTCCACTTGCTCTCATCTTCTCAGCCTAGTGTAGTCGCGTAACTTTGTGCTGTAAATTAACTTCAGAACACGTAGAGGCCTCCTTAAATGTAATGCTCTATCTATATAATATATAATGCGTCTTCTTGCTATGGTCTTTCTTGAAACATTTACTCCTTCAAGGCTCATTTTTAATAGCAATACTAGAAAGCTAGGGGATTACGTCGTGCAATTAGGGATATTTGATGTTCTTGCACAGCAGTAGTAACACTCTTTCTACCTCTTTCAGGCCGGTCTGTAACCTCATTTGTGTCCCTGTTTTTTTTAATGTTCACTTAACATCGCTTTGGTTAACTCCTACAATTTCAACTATTGCAACTTGCCGGTAGCCCTGTTGAAACAGTGTTAGTATTCTGACTCTATTAAACTGTGAAATAATGTTTCTAGGCATTTTAAGGCCAAAACAATAGTCAAATTTCTTCTGAAACCCAAGAGACCACAAATCGAAATGTGCAAGAATCTGTAATAATATTGGGTCTGAACAATAAACATTGTTTACCATATCTATTTTAACAAAAAAAATGATTACAGATTATCAAAGTTATGTATAAAAAAAGATTCTTTAAATTCCTTTCCGTATATTTTTAAAAGATATATGCAATAATTTTGGCCATGTGTGTATGTGCTAATATTAAACATTCAATAAATGAACTACGGTAATTCTTAGGTTGTAGAGGCGACGCCTGTAAAGTACGCCAGCTACGACACTACCAGAGGTTACGTAGTATCGAATAACAAATGTTTAGATGTAGGCTGGCCGTATTCTGTGAGTCCGTCCTCTGGAATCATCCAGCCTGTGCAAGTTATGAGCACGCCACAGCTGGAACTCAGCGGAAGTCCTCATAAGGTAATTTATCAAAATATACCTAATCCAGATATGAAACACATCGTACGATAAATCGTGGCATGTATACCGTGGCTCAATACAATTCAAAGAAGATTTGTTTGTATAATTGAACTAATTTTACTTTTTTCTTAAAGGAGACTATCAAAAAACATTCGTCTTCGCCTCAGCATCAACTAATCACTCCGAAAATCGAAGAAATTAAACAAGATACGCCGCTGATGCAGTCACAAGACAGTCCTGGAACCCACCACATCAGCACGCCACAGCATTTTTCTCCAATTCCTACCAGCAATCAAGGGGACATTCCCAGCAGACAAACTGTACTAATGTGGGGGTAAGTACGCTTATATAAGTTCACTTCTTTGAATACAAAGATTAAGAAATGAGTATAAAGGTTGATTCTCACTATACCTTCCCTATCAGCTGCCTTCCTTTTACATAAAATATTATATCATGTAAACGAATAGGACAATGCACACCATCCGTTCCGTTTCCCTTCCGTTCCATATCCTTTCCTTGCATACATTTTTTTGGGGAACGGACTGAAGCATATTGGAAACAGCGTTGTCAAGTTCTTCTCATTCTTTCACCTCTTAATTAAATCTATTACATTTTTCAAAAGATACAAATTTTTAAAATAAAACTTTCGTAATTATATAAATTGTACAATAAAAAGTATGGAACTGATACGGAACGGAAGCTTACGTATAGCGTCAATACAATAAAAATACGGAACGAATGTGGAATGGAAACGGAAGGTATAGTGAGAATCAACCTTAAAGGTGAGTGTATATGCATCCGTAAAGCCCCGTTCTCAGAACTTCGTCTGGTCGCCAGCGACACGTCAAATTAACCAATGAGATTTGTACAAAATTCAAACAGCTGTCAATTTTAAATTTTAACAACTCCCATTGGTTCTTTGAAGTGTCAACCACTGTCGCCAGCGACAACACCTCGTTCTGAGGGCGGGACTTAGTGGATCGTTCGTCTTTCCGTCACTCCAATCATATTTAAGTATGAGCTGTCATTTTTTTTAAATAAACCATTAAAATTGAATAAAATCAACGACGTTGACAATCACGTACATTGTGTTTTTTTAAGATCTCACAACTCCACCCCAGTGAACAGTCGAAGCCCTTTGAGCGATGGTACTACTTCGCAGGACTACCAACATCATCAAATCAACACAGTTCCGGTCACTGTCAATCATCAAATTACAACGGTCCAAGTAACGGATGAACAACACTCCATTGAATCTTTAAAAGGTTTGAATAATATATACTATATACGGAGCGATCAACAATGATTGAAATAGTTGGCAGTACTGTGTTAGAGGATTAATGATTGGTACTAATACAAAAACCAAGCTAAATGTGGCCCCCGGTCTGTTCAGATAATGATATACTTCTAATACACATTTTGTAAAAATTGAATGACGTATGTATAATGCTTGACAAAATTCAAGTATTTATACAGGGTGTCCCAGGCTGAGCCTGCATTAGAAGTTTCTAGAGAACTACAATATCTACATCCGAGATTTTTTGCATATCATTGTTTCACAACGAGATCTATCGATTAAAAATATTTTCAATATGGCGGCACTTCCGGAAGTACAGGAAGTTGACAGCAACTTTCTTATTTTAAATGGGTGTTCCAATTTTTATTACGTATTTAAATTCTCTGTAAAATTTTATGAATTTTAATATTAAACACTCTATACCTAACGTTAACTGTTTTTGAGAAAAAAAATATTTATAATTTTTGGAGGAAAAAAACTGCCTGTCAAAAATATGTATATAGCCTAAACGCGTGAAATTTAGTGATCGCCTATCATGTATCTGTTTCAAAAATTAAATTGTGCGAATGTCATATAATAACGGCCGCAACTATTATGGAATTGAGCGATTAAAAAATTATCATAAATCGTTTTTTTTTTGGCCTTGTTTGCAAGTTGAATAGAAAGTTATTTACTAAGATTCGGAGGCCCCTAGAGACAGGGGGCCGAGGCGGACCGCCCCTTCAACCCCCTTAGTCCGCCACTGCACCAAGGGACATAAAGGGCCATTATTACCGCTTTCCCGTTCAAAAAATTCTAATAAAGTTGCGATGAGTTTTTACGGCTATTAAGCAATCTTGTACAGTGTGTCCCATTTTGGTTGAAATCATAGGGTATCTCCGTTATTAGTGAAGATAGAAGGGTGTGTTTTGCACAAACCTGTCCCACTTTTTCGTCAAACGGAAGATGCCGTAAACAAAATTTTCATAGCCCTCTTCATTTCTGAGCTACAGGGTCTTTTAGAAAATTTTACAATTTGGGACACCCCCTGTATCTCTGTTATTGTTAAAGATATCGAGAAGGCGAAAACTGCTTATTGTAGAACTTTTTACGTAGAATACAGTGGCGTAGTCTGTTTTTCTACCAAAAAAATATTTTTGAAAATATGAACTAAAGTTATGTTTTTTCAAATGGAACATCCTGTATATTTATAAATCATATTATCTGTCTTGCTATGAGCTTCTCAAAAATATATATCACTCTATATTTATTTTCACTATTTACTGCAATATTTAAAATATATCATTTTCTTATTAGTAGGCCGTGATAAATAACAAAAAATCAAAATGGTATTTACTAAAATAGTCATACACATATTAAAATTTGGGATTGATATATTTTACTTTTGAAATAACTGTTACCACTGAAACTGTGAATATATTTTTCTTTTTTTTATAACGGGATGGGTTTGCAAATATCTAAATCTTAAATTATTAAAGCATTTTTCAGGTGTTCGAAATTGTTGTAGTGCCCACGATATATTTCGTATTTCGAAAATCCTCAAAATCAGAAATCGAGAACGACGAAATCCGGGAATCGAGGAGGCTATCAATATGTGTTCATTGGTTCCAATTCATTGATTTGAAAAATAATAATTTAACAGTATTCTAATATTTCCATAGTTATGTGGGGGAATGTTCCCCATCTTGCTGAAAGTATATTTGACGTAAATTAGCTAAAGGAATATCTAAAATTTCCGATACGATAGATTAGTCTTACGTATACACGTATTCCAAGATTTACAAATAGCGGTAGAGACTTAAGTTTCCCTAATATATAAAGAATTTATTAGCGGCTCCCAAAATAAAACAAAAGACAGATAGCAGTATACTTTTAATAATTCTTTAGATTCTTTTATTATCAATCATGGCCTACTAATAAATATGATCTTTTAATAAAAACTTTTAAATATTGCAGTAAATAGTGAAAATAAATATAGAGTGATATGTATTTTTGAGAAGCTTATGCCAAGACAGATCATATGATTTATAAATATACAGGGTGATCCATTTAAAAAAACATAACTTTAGTTCATATTTTCAAAAATATTTTTTTTGTAGAAAAACAGACTACGCCACTGTATTCTACGTAAAAAGTTCTACAATAAACAGTTTTCACCTTCTCGATAGCTTTAACAATAACAGAGATACAGGAGGTGACCCAAATTGCAAAACTTTCAAAAAGACCCTGTAGCTCGGAAACGAAAAGGGCTATGAAAATTTTGTTTACGGCATCATCCGTTTGACAAAAAAGTGAGACAGGTTTGTGCAAACCGCACCCTTCTATCTTCACTAATAACGGAGATACCGTATGATTTCAACTAAAATGGGATACCCTGTACACTTCGCACTAAAAGAGGTTCTAAAAAGAAGAATGTTCGACTGCAAGGTCTGTTAGTAAACATTTTTAAGCTTAAAGTATCACAACGAAACCAGAAACAACCAAACCAGAAACTTCTTCGAGTGGTCTAGGACACTCGAAGAAGTTTCTGAGGGCTTATGATCAAGAAAAATCACAGATCTTCCTGGGTCTGAGTAAGAACAATCTTCGGATTGTCACAGGGTTTTTAACAGGACACTGTCTCCTCAATGAACACCTCAGTAGATTGAAACTAAGAAGAAACGGCGAATGCAGATTCTGTGGGGAAGATGGTGAAACACCAGTACACCTCATCACTGAGTGCGCCGAGACGACAACCATTCGTGCCATGAATTTTGGTACGACTGATATTGGAGATGGAGAACTACCCTCTATAAAACCGTCCCAGATACTGGCTTTTGTCAAAGCCCTGGGACTGTATGATGAGTTATGATTCAAGAAAGGGGGACACAATGGATCTGTAAGGTCGAAGTGATTAACCCCCCTCCCACTCATTCTAAATTCTAAAAAAAAAAAAAGCTTAAAGTATCACAACGATACCACAAGATATTTAAACCAAAAACTCGTAATACAAAACTAAAGTGTCAAAACGAATGACAATATCAGGAAATAAATGTGACAACTTGGCATTTTTTACAAAAAAGCTACCACCTCAGTCCCCAGCGGGTAATTTAAATTCCAGTTAATGTCAGCCCGGCGCCGAATATGTCCTTGGTGGCAACAATGAATTTAAAAATCGCGTCCTCGATTACGTAACTAAAAAGTTTAATCGGTATCAAATATATTTCATCATTGTTAGAGGCTGCATTCCGATATGAAATTCGATGCATTTATCGGTATATTTTATTTCTGTGTTTTTTTGTTCAGGTTTAACTTTAAATCAACAGCCACCAATGGAACGGTGCCGAGGATACCAGAAAAATGGAAACGGTGACTCAGAACAGTGATCCGGACAGCCCCAACCAGCATCACGTGAACCATCACAACCACCACAACTCTCGAGTGGTGATGGTTCTATGATGAATTTGGTGGTCTTCCTGTACATATCTAGGTTTTGTTCAATTGAGACATGTGTCTGTATCAAACAAAAAATATACCAAAAATATAATTTAAAAATAATATAAACAAGAATGGTTTAATGTTATACAGAGATTTCAGTAATTCTTTATCAAAAAATATTGATCATTGACACGCAACTTTGCCACTTTCGAGAATCAAACTATTCTTCTTCTATTTTCTTATGATACAGGCACATTTCCTCTATACAGGGTGGCTTTATATTAAATAATAACTGGTAATTGTAATACACGTCTACCCTGTATAAAAAATTTAATTTATACATATTTATAAATAGATTATTTGTTATAAATATAGAGAGCGTGAGAACGTTTATGAATGGGTGAATTACATTGTTCCAATTGTAAGAAAAATACTAATTTTAATACCTAAACATACAAAAATCTCGAATAGTAAGATTGCACATAAAAATATTCCATGCATAGGACATAATAATAATAATTATAAAATTGTAAACATATCTTCCTAGGTTATATATTTATTTTTCATCAGCGATAACGTGACCTATAAAAAAATTATGTCTTCGAGAAATTGTTATTGTGCAAGAACATGTGCAAGGTGATTTAAATATGATCTACAAAAAGTTGTAGCTAAGCTATATGATATTCACCATATATTTTTAGATGTAAAAAATCGGGATTTCTAAGCCATCTTGACGCCGTGATTATAAAGAAAATGATTATAAGTTTTTTGTCGGGAAATTTGAATGTATCACCTTGCACAAATATTACATGTTTATTAATTATATAGATTTTTTTGGGGAATAGTCTATACCATTTGAATGAATATTATTCTTAGATGTTTAATTTTATCAATTTTATGTTTATTTGTACGTAGGGCTCAACAACAGTTTTAACTGATATAGTTTACTTTAAAGTTTTTTAATTTTATTACAAAAATATTTACTAAAACCACTGCCCCTCGAAAGGGACGCACAATAGGCTCTAAAACGTCTCTAAGATATGAGGCACCTGTCATTGTGCCATCAATAAAATCAAGAGGAGTTCGAGCTCCGTGCATTATACCTGCCCATACCATAATGCTTCCCCCTTGAAACGGGACACGGGGTTGAGCTGCATTCAAGCGTGCTCGTCTTCCAGATGCTCTCCAGACCAAAGTTCGTCGCGAGTCTGACACTCGGCCTATTCTTGTTACATCACTAAACATGACGAAATTCCAATTAGGTCCACTTGCTCTCATCTTCTCAGCCTAGTGTAGTCGCGTAATTTTGTGCTGTAAATTAAGCTTCGGAACACGTAGAGGCCTCCTTAAATGTAATGCTCTATCATGGAGTCTTCTAGCTATGGTCTTTCTTGAAACATTTACTCCTTCAAGGCTCATTTTTAATAGCAATACTAGAAAGCCAGGGGATTGCGTCGTGCAATTAGGGATATTTGTCGGTCTTGCACAGCAGTAGTAACTCTCTTTCTACCTCTTCCAGGCCGGTCTGTAACTTCGTTTGTCTCCCTGAATTTTTTTAATATTCGCGAAACATCGCTTTGGTTAACTCCTACAATTTCAGCTATTGCAACTTACCAGTAGCACTGTTGAGACAGTGTTACTATTCTGACTCTATTAAACTGTGAAATAATGTTTCTAGGCATTTTAAGGCCAAAACAATGGTCAAATTTCTTCTGAAACCCAAGAAACCACGAATCGAAATGTGCAAGAATCTGTAATAATTTTGGGTCTGAACAATAAACATTGTTTACCATATCCATTTTAACAAAAAAATGATTACAGATTATCAAAGTTATGTATAAAAAAAGATTCTTTAAATTCCTTTCCGTATATTTTTAAAAGATATATGCAATAATTTTGGCCATGTGTGTATGTGCTGTGTGTAATATTAAACATTCAATAAATGAACTAAGGTAATTCTTAGGTTGTAGAGGCGACGCCTGTAAAGTACGCCAGCTACGACACTACCAGAGGTTACGTAGTATCGAATAACAAATGTTTAGATGTAGGCTGGCCGTATTCTGTGAGTCCGTCGTCTGGAATCATCCAGCCTGTGCAAGTTATGAGCACGCCACAGCTGGAACTCAGCGGAAGTCCTCATAAGGTAATTTATCAAAATATACCTAATCCAGATATGAAACACATCGTACGATAAATCGTGACGTGTATACCGTGGCTAATACAATTCAAAGAAGATTTGTTTGTATAATTGAACTAATTTTACTTTTTTCTTAAAGGAGACTATCAAAAAACATTCGTCTTCGCCTCAGCATCAACTAATCACTCCGAAAATCGAAGAAATTAAACAAGATACGCCGCTGATGCAGTCACAAGACAGTCCTGGAACCCACCACATCAGCACGCCACAGCATTTTTCTCCAATTCCTACCAGCAATCAAGGGGACATTCCCAGCAGACAAACTGTACTAATGTGGGGGTAAGTACGCTTATATAAGTTCACTTCTTTGAATACAAAGATTAAGAAATGAGTATAAAGGTTGATTCTCACTATACCTTCCCTATCAGCTGCCTTCCTTTTACATAAAATATTATATCATGTAAACGAATAGGACAATGCACACCATCCGTTCCGTTTCCTTCCGTTCCATATCCTTTCCTTGCATACATTTTTTGGGGAACGGACTGAAGCATATTGGAAACAGCGTTGTCAAGTTCTTCTCATTCTTTCACCTCTTAATTAAATCTATTACATTTTTCAAAAGATACAAATTTTTAAAATAAAACTTTCGTAATTATATAAATTGTACAATAAAAAGTATGGAACTGATACGGAACGGAAGCTTACGTATAGCGTCAATACAATAAAAAATACGTAACGGATACTGAATGTGGAATGGAAACGGAAGGTATAGTGAGAATCAACCTTAAAGGTGAGTGTATATGCATCCGTAAAGCCCCGTTCTCAGAACTTCGTCTGGTCGCCAGCGACAGGTCAAATTAACCAATGAGATTTGTACAAAATTCAAACAGCTGTCAATTTTAAATTTTAACAACTCCCATTGGTTCTTTGAAGTGTCAACCACTGTCGCCAGCGACGACACGTCGTTCTGGGAACGGGGCTTAATGGATCGTTCGTCTTTCCTTCACTCCAATCATATTTAAGTATGATCTGTCATTTTTTTGAAATAAACCATTAAAATTGAATAAAATCAACGACGTTGACAATCACGTACATTGTGTTTTTTTTAAGATCTCACAACTCCACCCCAGTGAACAGTCGAAGCCCTTTGAGCGATGGTACTACTTCGCAGGACTACCAACATCATCAAATCAACACAGTTCCGGTCACTGTCAATCATCAAATTACAACGGTCCAAGTAACGGATGAACAACACTCCATTGAATCTTTAAAAGGTTTGAATAATATATACTATATACGGAGCGATCAACAATGATTGAAATAGTTGGCAGTACTGTTAGAGGATTAATGATACTAGGTACTAATACAAAAACCAATTCGATAAAAAAAATAACAAATTATGTCAATTCATTGACATCATTTTAGGGATTTTCTTTATCTTCTTGAAAATTGACAAAATATTTTAGGAAACAAAAATAAAAAATAAATTAATTATAAATATACCTATGAACAGTTATTATTTACATCAACAAAACACACTCACCTTCTTAACAGCACTTAAGCAGTGGCGGGGGCCCCCGACTAAGCCTGTCGGGGGCCCGGGGCGGCGAAGCTAAATGTGGCCCCCAGTCTGTTCAGATAATGATATACTTCTAATACACATTTTGTAAAAATTGGATGACGTATGTATAATGGTTGACAAAATTCAAGTATTTATACAGGGTGTCCCAGGCTGAGCCTGCATTAGAAGTTTCTAGAGAACTACAATATCTACATCCGAGATTTTTTGCATATCATTGTTTCACAACGAGATCTATTGATTAAAAATGTTTTCAATATGGCGGCACTTCCGGAAGTACCGGAAGTTGACAGCAACTTTCTTATTTTAAATGGGTGTTCCAATTTTTATTACATATTTAAATTCTCTGTAAAATTTTATGAATTTTAATATTAAACACTCTATACCTAACGTTAACTGTTTTTGAGAAAAAAAATATTTATAATTTTTGGAGGAAAAAAACTGCCTGTCAAAAATATGTATATAGCCTAAACGCGTCAAATTTAGTGATTGCCTATCATGTATCTGTTTCAAAAATTAAATTGTGCGAATGTCATATAATAACGGCCGCAACTATCATGGAATTGAGCGATTAAAAAATTATCATAAATCGTTTTTTTCAAATGGAAATCCACTTTTTTATTTCACTCGTGGAAAGATTTTCGTTACTTTGGTTTTTAAAATTTCTTAGTTTTTGATTATACATGTTCCTGTACCTAAAATAAATCGTTTTTCCGGACACCCTGTATACTGTAATAATTATAATAAAAATCCATATAGATATAAATATGTTACTCATCAGCATCAGTCTTTATGTAGGGACCTGATGGGCCCCCGGAGTATTAAGGGCCCCAGCTCTAAAAAGGCCCCAAAACGATAACATCAATTTTTTAAACCTTATAATAATATTTTTAAATAGAAAAACGAATGCAATTTGATGTAATAAAACAAGTAAGTGCAAAAGTAAAGTGTTTTGGTGTATTGTGGTGAATTATTTTGCTGTTATAACACCAAAGGTTCCTACCCCAACTGTAATATATTAGAGGTATTAAATTATTGAACATTTTGCTGATGAGCCATATACTACCATTCACGGGTATTTAATGGCAACTTATGATGACAAAGTGATGGAAATACCGGTTTCACATATGTGCCGCGTTACTTTCGCAACCGTTCCAGGAAAATACCGCGACAAAATATCGCGATTTTGTAAGTCCTACAAGATCCGAGGGGCCCCTTCGATGTCTCAGGCCCGTGGCCCCCGATATACTAAAGACGGCACTGCTCATCGTCGGTAAAGAAGCTAGAATATAAGTTATGCTCTGCATTGGTTGTAATTTAAAATGTTTATTCAGTAAAAATAAATAATGAAACCATTGAAAAATAACTTAAAAGCTAAAATAAATAAATTCAGAATTCTCAAAATATATAAAAAATAATAATTATTCGATATTTTAAACAAAGAAAATTACCCCTTGATTTAATTTCCTAAATAGAAAATGCCATTGACAATTACTGGGGCCTGATAAGTGATAATTAAGTAAATATCTGCTTCCGCCCCTTCAGCCCCCCCCCCCTTAGTCCGCCACTGCACTTAAGGGACATAAAGGGCCATTACTACCGCTTTCCCGTTCAAAAAATTCTAATAAAGTTGCGATGAGTTTTTACGGCTATTAAGATATCTTGTACAGTGTGTCCCATTTTGGTTGAAATCATAGGGTATCTCCGTTATTAGTGAAGATAGAAGGGTGCGGTTTGCACAAACCTGTCCCGCTTTTTCGTCAAACGGAAGATGCTGCAAACAAAATTTTCATAGCCCTCTTCATTTCTGAGCTACAGGGTCTTTTCGAAAATTTTGCAATTTGGGACACCCCTTGTATCTCTGTTATTGTTAAAGGTATCGAGAAGACGAAAACTGCTTATTGTAGAACTTTTTACGTAGAATACAGTGGCGTAGTCTGTTTTTCTACCAAAAAAATATTTTTGAAAATGTGAACTAAAGTTATGTTTTTTCAAATGGAATGCCCTGTATATGTATAAATCATATGATCTGTCTTGCTATGAGCTTCTCAAAAATATATATCGCTCTATATTTATTTTCACTATTTACTGCAATATTTAAAATATATCATTTTCTTATTAGTAGGCCGTGATAAATAACAAAAAATCAAAATGGTATTTACTAAAATAGTCATACACATATTAAAATTTATTTGGGATTGATATATTTTACTTTTGAAATAACTGTTACCACTGAAACTGTGAATATATTTTTCTTTTTTTTATAACGGGATGGGTTGGCAAATATCTAAATCTTGAATTATTAAAGCATTTTTCAGGTGTTCGACATTGTTGTAGTGCCCACGATATATTTCGTATTTCAAAAATCCCCAAAATCAGAAATCGAGAACGGCGAAATCCGGGAATCGAGGAGGCTATCAATATGTGTTCATTGGTTCCAATTCATTGATTTGAAAAATAATAATTTAACAGTATTCTAATATTTCCATAGTTATGAGGGAGAATGTTCCCTATCTTGCTGAAAGTATATTTCACGTAAATTAGCTAAAGGAATATCTAAAATTGCCGATACGATAGATTATTCTTACGTATACACGTATTCCAAGATTTACAAATACCGGAGACTTAAGTTTCCCTAATATATAAAGAATTTATTAGCGGCTCCCAAAATAAAACAAGAGACATATAGCAGTATACTTTTAATAATTCTTTAGTTTCTTTGATTATCAATCATGGCCTACTAATAAATATGATCTTTTAATAAAAACTTTTAAATATTGCAGTAAATAGTGAAAATAAATATAGTGATATATATTTTTGAGCAGCTTATGGCAAGACAGATCATATGATTTATAAATATACAGGGTGTTCCATTTAAAAAAAACATAACTTTAGTTCATGTTTTCAAAATTATTTTTTTGGTAGAAAAACAGACTACGCCACTGTATTCTACGTAAAAAGTTCTACAATAAACAGTTTTCACCTTCTCGATAGCTTTAACAATAACAGAGATACAGGAGGTGACCCAAATTGCAAAACTTTCGAAAAGACCCTGTAGCTCGGAAACGAAAAGGGCTATGAAAATTTTGTTTACGGCATCTTCCGTTTGACAAAAAAGTGAGACAGGTTTGTGCAAACCGCACCCTTCTATCTTCACTAATAACGGAGATACCGTATGATTTCAACTAAATTGGGATACCCTGTACACTTCGCACTAAAAGAGGTTCTAAAAAGAACAATGTTCGACTCCAAGGTCTGTTAGTAAACATGTTTAAGCTTAAAATATCACAACACAATCCGTTTAAACAAAAAACTCGTAATACAAAACTAAAGTGTCAAAACGAATGACAATATCAGGAAATAAATGTGGCAACTTGGCATTTTTTACAAAAAAGCTACCACCTCAGTCCCCAGCGGGTAATTTAAATTCCAGTTAATGTCAGCCCGGCGCCGAATATGTCCTTGGTGGCAACAATGAATTTAAAAATCGCGTCCTCGATTACGTAACTAAAAGTTTAATCGGTATCAAATATATTTCATCATTGTTGAAGGCTGCATTCCGATATGAAATTCGATGCATTTATCGGTATATTTTATTTCTGTGTTTTGTTCCAGGTTTAACTGAAATCAACAGCCACCAATGGAACGGTGCCGAGGATACCAGAAAAATGGAAACGGTGACTCAGAACAGTGATCCGGACAGCCCCAACCAGCATCACGTGAACCATCACAACCACCACAACTCTCGAGTGGTGATGGTTCTATGATGAATTTGGTGGTCTTCCTGTACATATCTAGGTTTTGTTCAATTTTTGGGACATGTGTCTGTATCAAACAAAGAATATACCAAAAATATAATTTAAAAATAATATAAACAAGAATGGTTTAATGTTATACAGAGATTTCAGTAATTCTTTATCAAAAAATATTGATAATTGATATTAATCTTTATCAAAAATATTGATCATTGACACGCAACTTTGCCCCAATTTCGAGAATCAAACTATTCTTCTTCTATTTTCTTATGATACAGGCACATTTCCTCTATACAGGGTGGCTTTATATTAAATAATAACTGGTAATTGTAATACACGTCTACCCTGTATAAAAAATTTAATTTATACATATTTATAAATAGATTATTTGTTATAAATATAGAGAGCGTGAGAACGTTTATGAATGGGTGAATTACATTGTTCCAATTGTAAGAAAAATACTAATTTTAATACCAAACATACAAAAATCTCGAATAGTAAGATTGCACATAAAAATATTCCATGCATAGGACATAATAATAATAATTATAAAATTGTAAACATATCTTCCTAGGTTATATATTTATTTTTCATCAGCGATAACGTGACCTATAAAAAATTTATGTCTTCGAGAAATTGTTATTGTGCAAGAACATGTGCAAGGTGATTTAAATATGATCTACGAAACGTTGTAGCTAAGCTACAGTACATCTGCTGGATCTGTGTCTATGAAAGGAATGCGGACAAAAAACATTTAAATAAACAGCAATATATTTTATACGTCGTTTTGACGAGTGCGTCACCGCAAATCGCTCCGCCCACTCATTTTATTGGCTACTTGCAAATTTGTTGAATTTTTATTGATGGGACGCGTCGTTTATTTTTTTTACGAAAAACATCGAGAGAATATCATTTCCCCTCTCACGGATACCCCGTAGCTACAGAACGGACAGACGTACTGTATATGATATTCACCATATATTTTTACATGTAAAAAATCGGGATTTCTAAGCCAACTTGACGCCGTGATTATAAAGAAAATGATTATAAGTTTTTTGTCCGGAAATTTGAATGTATCACCTTGCACAAATATTACATGTTTATTAATTATATAGATTTTTTTGGGGAATAGTCTATACCATTTGAATGAATATTATTCTTAGATGTTTAATTTTATCAATTTTATGTTTATTTGTACGTAGGGCTCAACAACAGTTTTAACTGATATAGTTTACTTTAAAGTTTTTTATTTTTATTACAAAAATATTATAAAATAGTATGTTGAACCTTACTGTACTCAAACAATGCTAGTCAATCAGTGGTTACTTGTATATTAATTTTGTATTATAGTTTAATTTATATTGTATGTAGAATTATATGTATGAAAAAAATTTATCTGTAGCTAAATTGGTAATGCTAACAAATGTTACTGTTTTCATTCTATCAATATAAAGTAATATTAAGGGTAAATTTGTTAACAAAAGGACGTTAACAATCGGAAATATAATAAAAATATGCACAAATCAATAAGGGACACTTTATTAAAGGATAATATCCCACTTCTGATATTAAAAATCCGGGAATATTTATTAATATTAATATAATTATTGCTTTCTGAAGTTATTTATGAATTGTTTTAGTGTATTATTGCTGGCTGACATTTGTTTGAAATTATCTAGCTATTATTTGATCAGATATATAATATATAATATAAAATCATTGATACTGGGATCTTCATTGTCTTCATTAAAATCTTACTTTGGAGTATAGAATTAGAATATATGAAATTTTTCAAAATACGTTACTCATATTAGTTTATATTGGCAGGATAAAACCAGACTTTTGAATACCATATACATTCCATTTTCTATAGTTAAATAAACAAATCTTTTATTTTCTATACGCTTTTTCTTGTAAAAATACCTGTATAAAATGCAAACGTTTGTCCAAACCCACGTTTTATTTATTTATTAAAAGTCTCCAAATGCAGATACAACTTAATAATGTAGGCTATATAAATTGAACGAAAAAAATAAAAATAAAGCTAATACCAATGGTGTAAGAAAATGAATTTATTGAAATAAAACTATATATTGAAATTTATCTGTGTGTTTCTATTAAGTTCTGTCCAGTCTTATTAGTTCAGTTCAGGTAAAACAGATCGTTTTTCGTCTACACACATTGTTTTACTTACGTTTTGACTAACGGGCAAAACTCACAGGTAAAACGTTATGTGTAGACGGGACTTTACCCTAAATTATTGAAGATGAGACTTATGGCAAAACAAATAATGAAACAAATACATTCTAGTAACATAATGTATTTAAACAAAACTAACTTATAAGGTTACACTTTCTAATTCAAGTTCTTCACTTTCTTCCCTTGCTTTTTCATTCATATCTTTAAGATACAACTCATGGTTGATCTTTAATTGTTCCCTTGAAGGTGGACTCCATAAATAACACCTTTAAAAGTATACACTCAATATTATCAAGATTCAAATACCAGGGTATTCCAATTACCTAGTTATAAAACTGCCTGCTCTTTTTGGTTTTTGTGTATAGACATCTTTAATTATTGAAGCAAAGTTTTCTTCTAAATGGGTTGGTTCCATATTCAGCTGTAATATGACTTTTATTTTTTAAAAAATCAGTATGTTATTAAGCATTAATATATATATGTGAAATTATATGAATCCTAGACCAATTATAAATTGTAGGGGATATGAATGTTTTACAAAAATTTTAAGTAGGATTTTTATGCGTCCGATATCCCAAGAACAATATTAATTTAATTAGTTGAATTTAAAGACTTTGATTGGTTAGAAAATTCCGTAGTTTTAAGATAGATTTTATTATTTTTGCATTCTCATGCCTCCGTTTACAGGATAATACAAATCGCGCGCTTGTGATTGGTCAAAAATATTTGACAATGACAATTCATAATACAATTCCAAATTCCAATTGTCATTTTTTGTTTTCACTTCCATAACGGTTTCCATGAGTTTTACTGATCAGAAATTATTATTTTGTTACCACTCTTTAAAATGTAGAAATATATATAATCTAGAAAAGGAATAACCTCTTCCTGATAGTGACAATTATCCCAAATTTGTCATCAAAAAATAAGGTTAGTTACTTAGTTACAAAGAGTTAAATTTATATATATTTTAGACTTGTTTAAATAAGACCATTTTTTAGGAAACTTCTGACCTAATGAATAGGACGTCACTGAATTGGTTTAAAAAATTCTGACAATATAGCTCCAATAAAACTGGTGAAAAAAGGTATATTACTCAATAATAACAATATTACTTGAATTTGTAGTGATTTTTTTAGTGATTATATTAAGCTGTACAAGATTAAAAATACATTTACCAAATAAACTAACTTGAGCATTGAACAAATGTTCACTCACCGTTCCTATGATGGCATTTATTTGACCAAAATCTTTTTCATACTCGTCTTTAATAGCCTGGTAACTGACGCCTCTTAAAAACCTATCTACTGTACTTCCCAGGTTTACGTCTAATGTTCCAGTCTTAACATTTGGAAATTTTCTTTTCATGATCCCCCTAAAAGATAAATACAAGTTAATACACTATCTAAAATAACAGAATCTTAAATTACACTGCTTACCTTAGTTGCACTAATTCAGGTAAAATATCTGGGTGAGCTATATAATGTTGAAAATCCAACAACGAAAGCTTAAAATAAAAAAAAATATATTAAATAATTCAATTATATTAAGGAATATACAAATACCTGCCCGACTTGTAGTTGTTTAATTATTTCCGCGCCCCCAACAACCTGCGCCCCTGCATCTAAAGCTTCCTTTTGACTTTCTAAGTTTTTGGCAAAAACCAATAAGTTTCTTTCTTCGCCATGATCGAATTTATGAGGTATGGGTGCGATTCTATAGAAATTATCCAGGAATCTCGTCTAAAAAAAGAATAAAAACATACTTGATTTATTTTAAATTATACAAATACTAACCTTCTTCTCCCCTTGCATGTTTAGTTCTACTGTAAGATGGAGTTCAGCGTTCGGTTTGTTATACATTTCTGGATGGTGAGTTTCTCTATGCGCATTAACAGCTTCGACAAACGGATACACGATCCACTTGTAATATTTCATAGGAAAAACGTTATCGATAGGGTCGCGCTTCCATGAATCGTCAAATTTTCGAGAAGCGCGAGCTGCAAGCATTTTTTCTTTATCCCGTAGATTGTGGGGAATGAACCCGATTTTCTTAATTTCCACCTTTACTTTTTTTTTGTTCTTTCTCTCCCGCGTTCCTTTTCGGGCGGCATATTCGCGAGCTGGAACTATATTAAGAACAGGTAATAATCTTGGAAGAAATTTTTGAGATGAAACAGTGTAAGTAATCTGCAACAATTCTGAAAAAAAAACAATGCATATATTCCAAAATAAGATTAAACTTGTAAAGCTTACTTTTACTTAAGAGTGACATTATAATAATTTACTTTTAAAGAAAAAGTTTTTAGACCATCAAAAAATCTTATTACAAAACATAACATAACCCTACCTAAATTCCACTGAAGGTAAAATCAATTTTTTGACAATCCACTGTTACTGCCAGGGATCTATATCAGATCTGTGGTTGACCATGTTTTCAGACTATAAATATTAAAAAGAAGAAGAATATTGCTTTTATTCTGAAATACGAAAAAGAAGAAGATTGCAGGTGGCGCCAGTGTTCAAAAAGTGAGAAAAATTTGAACTAATGTGTTTCCAAGGTTGCCAAGTTATTAGCGAAATACCGAAACTAGTCTAAATTAATATTTTTGGAAGTGTAAAATGAATTGAACCGTTACAAAATCATGATAAATCTTATAAACATTAAATACAAACTTTGTTTCAGTAGAATATATAATATATTTTCTTGACACAGGATTATTTATGCAGCAAAAAATGACCATTTAGTTTTACATGTGTTCAAGCTGACAACGTTGACGTGCGACATTTGTGATTTTACGTTGTCAACAGAAAGTTGTTATGCCTCTCTTAAATTTTTCCGATTTTCTGGTAGAAAAAGATATTTCTCTATACGCTATAAGAGTTTATTCTGTTCCTTAAGGCCTGTTTGATCTCCTGAAAATGTAAGTACCCAGTATTTCGCCCGTTTTCTATAGATTTTTCCACTTTCAAATATTTCAATTACATCATTAAAATTAAAAGTTAACATGTCGTTTACATATTTTTTCTAATTTTCACTATTTTCGTTTTCAGAGAGAGAGAGAGAGAGAATCGAGTATAAGAAAATATAGATAATGGATACATTTCTTGATGCCTCTATTGGACAATGAAAATATAGTTACTTAGAATATTACTTCATATTTGGATACTTTTTGGTAGAATTTAAAGATGTTTTTTATTCCTAAGGATTTCCTTTAAAATTATCTTTAGGTGTTTGTTCATACAGGCAATCAAATATTTTCTACATCTTTTAGAATAGGTCAGTGTTAGTATATCTATAAAGGGACCCCACATTCTCAAGAATTACATAGTATACTTCCAGATAAAAAAATAGTTTTCATGACATTTTGATATTATACGCCTTTGTCATATTTTCGTTAACAAAAATTTGTATTGTTTTATATATACATAATGCTTTAAGTTTTAATTTTCTTTTTTAGGAGTGTTATTAATAATACAGATCCAGCACCTAAAGAACACTTAAAAGAATAGACTTGGATCACCCCTTATATAATTCTGATGTTTGGCCATTGGATTGGTTTTCTATTATCCGATTTAAAGTAAGTTTATTTTATTATTGAAAAACAATTTTAGTAAATTTATTAAATGTTTATTAACAGACTAATCATATTTTTTAAGATATATTCAGAGATATGGATATATTTAATCTTAAACACAATTACTAAGCATAATTAATGAAATGTAATATTATATTTATTTCTCCAAAAATATCCTATATATAGGTATTTCGCCACTGCAAGAAAATCTACAAAATCAAATAGTTATTTTATGTAAACACTTCTGCGTTAATCCAACGGAGACTAATTGTCAGCAGTGGGCAGTGGCTTAAATAAAAATAGAAAATACCATGTCAAAGCGATAAATTTTATATTGGTGAAACATCTAGACCCTTAAATGTTCGAATTAAAGTACATAAAGATTATTTAAGAAAGGATGACTTCCAGAAATCTAAGATTAGTCATCATTAATGGGACACAAGGCACAGAATATATTTTAACAACGCCAAAATCATAATGAAAGAAGCGATAGCCTTTAAAAGAAAAATAAAAGAGGCTTTTATAATACAATCTAATAAAAATAAATGTATTGCTCATGCATCTGTAGATATTAGTAATGTATGTAGTAATGTATGGCAATCGCTTCTTTGATTTTAAAGGACATAACAAATAAACATAACATACGTAAAAAATGAAAAAAAAATCATACACAAAGTTTGAAGTTTTTTGGTTTTATCTTATTAAGTAATTATTGTTATCAGGTTTTAATTATTGTTAATTTTGAAGTTTAACTTGATATAAAGTCACTTTAACAGCACATCAACGGTTTTTGTAGACATATACCGTATGATCGAATAAAAACGTCGTCAGCGATGGCTATGAAATGAAGATCGCTGTCATTTTATATGTAAAATTATATGGGAAATGTCATCGATGTTCATTTCCAAGCCAACTGGACGCCGTTTTCTTTCGATCATACGTTATCTGTTTAAAAAAAACTAAAGTGTTGTCGAATAGTTGCATTTATATATTTTAAATAGTTTTTTTCTTTGTATTTTTTTGCTTCCGACGAGGGAAAGAAATAAACTTTCCGAATCGTTAAGCATTTTTAGCATCCGTAAGGTAAATTTGTTCATTTGTAAGCCACTGCTGACAATTAGTCTCCGTTAGATTAACGCAGAAGTGTTTACAAAAAATAACTATTTTATTTTGTAGATTTTCTTGCAGTGGCGAAATAACCATATAGGATTTTAGATGAATATCCGCCACATAAGCATATAGACATTTTTTATTATTTATTTCTTTTTTTACAGATTTTCTACAACAAATCAATGGATGTATAGAGTTCCAGGGCAGTACATTATTTGTCCTTTTCATGAATATTACCAACAATGCATCCAAAATATATTTCTTTTGGGTGAATATATTTTTACTGGATTTTAATATTCTTGGAACTTTACTTCATGTTGTTTTTGGTCTATTTTTATTTCTCTATAATAGCTTGATTCTCATATTTTCTTGAGTGTGGGATTATCATCATTTATAAATTCTATAAAATATTCCCATGACTGTATTTCTAAATATCTTACTTGCTGGGGGCAAAATTAATAATTTTTTATTGTTCATCTTTTTACTTGTGGAACTTACTTACTCAACATTAATTTGTTATCTTAAATTTATTATTTAAGTGTTTTGTGTACTTATGTATATTTTTTAACATTTTTGTGTTTCAGTGTTATTATATATCCTGCATAACAGAATTATTGATAATACAGTATATTTTGGTTTCACTCATTTGAACACTGAGAGCTGCTGGAAAAGAATATTTTGCTTGTTTTTTGAGCATTAATAGTTTTTGAATTACTGTTATTTATTTTCTTTTAGCAAGAATGCAATCTATAGTTAACTGTAAGAAGTTTATATTTCAATTTACATAGTCACAGTTTAAGAAATAAAATGATATAATTTATTATAACGTATTATAATAATATATTTAAGTTTTGAGTTTTATTTTACTTATACTGATGTATTTATTCTTTAGGCATGACTTACTAACGTGATTTATCTACAACAAGAAGTGTTCAACAATTTCTACGATAGGTAAGTTTGATATTTCATGCTATTATGCATGTATACAGTGAAGAGATAAGAAAATCTTAACATTTACATCTGAAAAAACGTCCGATATTTTGAAATTTTTCCTTTGGCGCGCTTTGTTGATTACAGCGCCACATTTATTTAGTGAGGGTTCTTGGAACTATTTTCGGAGCGATTATGACGCCACCTTATAGGAAATTATAAAACTAAGTAGATACAGGTTTCTGATTTTAGTATATGTGTGTGGCGCCATCATGAATTTAGTGTGTGAACTAGTTATTTATAGGTTTCTATAATGAAAAAAAGTAACTGGTGATATCTATGATTGAATAGCTAAACTTTACTAATAATTTTCTTAGAAATTTAAAGAAATCTGCAATTTTTAGTTCCCAAAAATATATTGAATGAGAGACATCTATGAATTAAATTTTTTACTAATTGTGATTCTAACCATAGAAAATTTTTTTTTTATTATAATTTTCCTGATTTTTCGAAAATAACCGGATTTAAAGCAGTTTATTTTCACTAATTTTCAGTTTGATGATAAATCTAACGGTTAAATTAAAATGTATGATCTATATAATATTCTTTATAACTAATTTTTAATATTGTTTATCTACAATTTGTATTTTAAAGTGTAATCTGTGAAGAGAGTATAATATAGACGTAACTTTTTTTACAGATATGCAATAATACAGTGAAGAGAGCTTGCTATGAAGAACAAATTAGAATACATCAAGTAAAATGGAAAGAAATAAGGATAGTTATCTTTTGGGAACATGTATTTGGGTCATAGATATAATTTCGTAAGAAAACCTCATCGATTGTTCCCTGCTTTTCAATGAAACTGTGTGCCTAAAAGGAGTAAACCTGGAGCAACAATATTGGAATCAACAAAACCAATGTGAGATGGTTTCTGCTTTCAAATAGTTCCTGCAAATACCTCTTCCAAAAATTATGCTCTCGAACATTCAAATCCTTGGACTCTGTGCTGTACCTCCCAAACCTGCTTTTTCTTTGATATAAAGATAATTTGAAAATACTCTTTTTGAGTATTATTGTTATGAAGATATGATTGCAGTGGATAAGGTAAACCAATTTTTTTTATTGTTTCAGTGTGTTTTTTTATTTGTTCAATTTTTCTTTAAAGTGAATAGGGAGAAAACGTGAATGAAATGAATAAGTAAGTGTAAGAAAACACAGATTACAGTTGAGTATTGGAACCTTTGGTGTTACAACAGCAAAATAAAACACTAATTCACCACAATACACCAAAACATTTTACTTTTGCAATAGATGCGCGTTTTGCTAACCATGTTAGCATCATCAGCAGATGATTAAAACTGTTTTTAATGTGCAGAAGTAAAGTGTTTTGGTGTATTGTGGTGAGTTAGGTTTTATTTTGCTAAGAAAACACAAATCAATATGACCATTTTGCTACTAAATTTTCTGTTCATCTAAAATTCTATCAAGAAGGCATAATGTGTAAAAAAATCACTCTAAGAATGGTGATACCATGCTTCAAAAAACACTCAGTATAGTTGGAATAGTAGTATAGTTATGGGAATAAGAAATTCATGGCAAATTCACTTGGTGAAAAATGCAGCATTTTATTTAAAAACTATGATTTTAGCTTAAAAATATCTTTGAATCACTCCGTATATCTATAAAAATTATATATTAATAGATATATTGTAAAAAATATTTGAGTGAAAATTTCAAACATCCCCTGTATAAGTATTTTTTATTTTTTCAGAAATATATGCGAGCTACTGGAAACATGAACAACCAGTATTCATCAGAAAGAAAATTGGTGAAAATTTAATAGAAGAGTCAAGAATCCATCCAAGGAGTTATTTTATTTCTGTAATTAATTCTAACCTCTAGCATTCTCTAATAAATCTTAATAAAATTGTAATGTACATAGTTTCATTTGAATCCCTTGAATAGTCTTTAAATTTAAGTATCTAACATAAATGTTGTATTACTATATGGTGGTTAAAACAAACAAAAATCGAAATATTTCAAAATAAATACAATAAATATTAGTAATCATTGTCTTTAATATTAATATTAATACATTATTTAATAACATATAAACCCTTTTATAGTCTAGACCCATGCGTTATTCTATAAAGATTTGATTTGTTTTGTCTCAAAACAGCCACATCTAGGTCCAAAAATATGACAAAAATGACCGATTTTAAAAATATTTTCCTCTTAATAATTAAATGGAAAATCGTTGGCCAACGAGCTCGAACAGTTAGAATCATTTACAAAAACGTTAATTACTCAAAAACTAATTGAGATATCGAAGTGCGCTTGGCGCCATTCGATAGGGAATTCAACCCTCTATCTGTACACAAAATTACAACTCCCTACGACAAACTTTATTTTTTGGAGCAAAAATGAGCAAAGGGGTTAACCTTAGAAAATTTTTGGCCTAAAAATTAAAGGGTGTCCTAGGGGGTTGTAATTTTCTGTACAGATAGAGGGTTGAATTCCCTATCGATTGGCACCAAGCGTGCCCCGATATCTCTTTTAATTACGGAGTAATTAGCGTTTTAATTTCGAAAACGAGGTCAAAGTCTTAGAGTCAACAAAATTCATCATTTCTCGCTAGTGTTAAAAATTTGTTCGAGGTGTTCATAAATTTCGCACGGGGCAACCAAATCTTGTGCATTTTTGTCATCCAAAATTTCATTTTGAACAGAAATGAGATACATTTTTCAGAATCATTCTTAACCGTATAGGTATTTTATACTGGGATTATATTTTTGGTTAGCCATTATATTAAAAATTTTGGGATGCAATTTTATTTTTTCTTTTTATATTTAATAAGAGCTCTAAGAGTTTCTACCTTTCTTTTAATTGTTATAGTAATGGAATTTTGCTGTAAATAAAACACATGTACGTTTAATTTAATAAAATATTTATTATTATATATTAACATTTTCAAATAGGACATTCATTTTGAATGTTTATACATCTATTAAAAATGTTACCATTAAGTGACAGGGTAAATAAATGCTATGTATTGGGTCTAATATAATAATAGCTAATGCTTTTATTTATATTCTATTAAAATTATACACAATAAAGAATGGTATTGACATTCACTAATTAAATATAACTTATTAACTAAAAAAATATTTACAGGTAAAATACATTTTTGTTATCATTGATTACAGTTTTATTTAATAACATATATTACTTATTTTTATTGACAATGTTAATATAGACCGTATATTAAAATCCAATGAGTTGATGGACATGCTAATATCTAGATATAAGCCTTGTAGAAGTAATTATTAAATCTAGTTACCCTTCTGAAAAGTCCTCATTCTGTAATGAAAGTATAAAGAAACTATTAATTATAATCAAGGGTAAAACATAAAGAATGATTTTAATAGTAATACAAGAAAAAAAGACGGTTAAGTTAATAGAATTTGCAATTAAGAAATATTCTAATTATTATAACAATTAAAAAGTGTTAAAACTTAAAATATTTACACCTTTTATATAGGCAACTCTATATACATGTCAAGTGTATTTATAGTTGCCTATATATATGTAAATTGTAGCGCTACAATATTTTATTTAAAATTAATCCTCTTTATATCTACGTATTTTACAAAACACAATAACAATGGGTATTTATTAAACATATATGATTTAAAAAAACACTTTTTAGTATTTAGCTTCCTCTTCAATAATGAATTTAATTCTAAATCCACTGTAGAATGTTCAATTTAACCATCTAATGGCATCTTGAAGGGGGTGGTTAAATTGAAGTGAAGCTCTACTTGTCCAAAGATCCTTGTTCCAAAGCAGTACAATATCGCAATCAAAAATTCAAGTTTTAAAAGGAATTAGAAAGGGAATGAGAAGAAAATCAATTAGAAAATGAATCCAAAACTATACAATTCTACGAGGCATCAATAGAAATGAGATTAAGCAGTAAAATAAACAATAACATAATAACAGAGAAGATTTAGAAATACAATCGATATAGCAGAGATATAATAAATTACATTTAAGAAAAATTAAATTAAGTATCCTCTGTATGGGGTATGATGAAAAAATAATTAAAATTATTCCAAAATTACAACTCTATAGAAGACAAGAGAAACAAAATGCCTTAAAGAAGTCTCGACATAGAATGACACAATACAAAAAAAATTGATATAAGTAAATGATGACTGATATCTCAGAAATACTTAAATTAATAGAAGATTTCAAAGAACGAAAAAAATATGAGAGATAAAGAAACAGAGGTACGTAGAATTGAAAAAAAAAATGCATGAAAATTTGTGCTGACCTTATAAAAGTCTCAGAAGAATGATACAAGAATTTAAATAATTATATACAAATATAATGATGTAGAAATACAACCAATGGAAAAGTTTATAGAATTGATGAACAATAACATTCCCATAAGCAAGAAAATATGGGAGACAAATGGTGAAATATAAATATTATGAATTGAAAAAAATGGCATAAAAAATAGCACCAAAATAGTGAAATAGAGGTAGGCCAAAAGCAAGAGAAAAAAGTAAAGAAGTATGTGGTCACTTATAAATGGAAAATTGACCGAAATTGAAGATTATGCTTAGCCTCCTCTAACGAATATCTAGTCAAAGTCTGACACCAAACACATATGACAATATGACTCAAGCACCTAAAGAAAATTCCTCCAGAGCATCTAAGTTCGCCTCCCTTCATCAGATTTAACCCTTGTCCGACGATTAAGCCTCGCCAGTCAGTTCCCATCCCAGCTAAGCAGCCTCGTCTCGGGTCACCCTCGTCACCCATCGAGCGGACATCCACCGGGACCCCCTACAGGCGGACCCCCCTCATCATCTTCAATGTGTCCGATATCCCGCCCCCTGCCTCTTCGAGGGTCACGAAATACGTGCACGAAGAAGTCTCGTAGCTTGGGTGCCAGGTCGTATCCGGCCGAAGCCTCTAGCGTTAGAACACCTAGCTCGTAAACCAGAGGGTGGTGACTCCCTTGGGTACCTATGCATGCTACATAGGTCATCGATGGCCGAACATCAGGGTTAGGGGGTGACCCGGGTCTCCTCCTCTTAGGGGAGGCTAGTTATAATGCTCTGGAGTCGATCTCACTCAGGAAAATTCATTGGAAAAATGATAGAAAAATAGAAATAACTTATCACAGATAACACATAATCCAGATGGCCATTGCTTACGGAACAGCATGTTTTCGATGAGACAGTTCCCTATTAATGACACAGAGGGCGCCTATAGCCAAATCTAATAATATTTTTAAAACGAACGAATTTCGAGCCACACCACGGCCACGCGATGTGAAGCGACGTAGCCGGTTGTTCATATTTATAAGCAAATTCCCGGTCAAACCCAGGGAAAATGTATATTCGGACTTTAATACTATACAATTGGATATGAAAATACTAGTCGCAGTGGATGTTTGAAAGTCAGAATTTCTAGATGAATATATATGCTATTTATAGCCATGAAATTTATAATTTAGATTTTATTTTATTATTTGTCTCATAATATTCATTAGCTGAAAATAAGGGTAAAGGTTATCTATATAGTAATAAATAAAATTTGGCACATAGGTTCCTTAAGTGATGTAAATGAGCACTAAGAAGGATTTTTTGAAAATTCGACCACTAAGGGGTGAAATTAGGGATGAAAAGCTGCATAAAAATTTGTTAAAATCTGGTTTAAGAGTATGAAATTTTTCACGAGTGCTCCTTGACTGACGTAATTGAACACTAAGGGGCAATTTTGGAAATTCGCTCGTAAGGGGGTGATATGGGGGGTACTTTTGTATACAAAAAAAGCATGTCCTAGGACTACGAAATTTTGCACAGAGGTGCCTTAAGTAGCGTAACTTAACAGTTCGATTATACAAAGCGATTTTAGGAAATTCTTCTACTAAGGGGTGAAACTGGGGGTGAAATTTTGCATATTTTTTTAAAATTAGTCCGAGGAGTTTGAAATTTGGAAATTGTTAATTAAGCGACGAAAGTGAGTACTCAGAAACGAATTTTGGACATTCATCCCCTAAGAAATAAGGGATGAAAATTGGTATAAAAATTTGTCAAAATCGGTTTTAGAAGTATGAAATTCTGCGTAGACGTTCCTTATGTAACTTAATTTAGCACTAAGAGGCAATTTTAGGAAATTTTCCCTCTAAGGGGGTGAAATGAAGGGTGAACGTTCTGAAAAAAAATCTGTCCTAGAAGTATGAAAATTTGCACAGAGGTTCATCAAGTGATGAAAGTTATACTCAGAAGCGAATTTTGGGCATTCATCCCTTAAGAAATAAGGGATGAAAATATGTACAAAAATTTGTTAAAATCGGTTTTAGAAGTATAAAATTGTTCGCAGACGTTCCTTATATAAGGTAATTTAGCACTAAGAAGCAATTTTTCGAAATTTTCCCTCTAAGGGGGTGAAATGAGGGGTGAACTTTCTGAAAAAAATCTGTCCTAGAAGTATGAAAATTTGCACAGAGGTTCCTCAAGTGATGATAGTGAGTACTCAGAAGCGAATTTTAGGCATTCGCCCCATAAGAATTAAGGGATGAAAATTTGTACAAAAATTCATTAAAATCGGTTTTGGAAGTATGAAATTTTGCGCAGACGTTCCTTATGTAACTTAATTTAGCACTAAGAGGCAATTTTAGGAAATTTTCCCTCTAAGGGGGTGAAATGAAGGGTGAACGTTCTGAAAAAAAATCTGTCCTAGAAGTATGAAAATTTGCACAGAGGTTCCTCAAGTGATGAAAGTGAGTACTCAGAAGCGAATTTTAGGCATTCGCCCCATAAGAATTAAGGGATGAAAATTTGTACAAAATTCATTAAAATCGGTTTTGGAAGTATGAAATTTTGCGCAGACGTTCCTTATGTAACGTAATTTAGCACTCAGGAACAATTTTGGAAATTCGCCCTCTAACGGGGTGAAATGAGGTGTGGACGAAAAAAAAATTGCTTGTTATTGCTAAATTACGTTACATAAGGAACAAACAGAATTTCATACTTCTAAACCCGATTTTAACAAATGTTTGTACGAATTTTCATCCCTTATTTCACTCTCTTAGGAGATGAATGTCCAAAATCCACCTGTACAAAATTCCACACTCGTAGGACTGTTAGTTTTAACTAACAATTTATTAAAGTGCAACTATATAAAAATTATACAGGGTGGCGCCTCTCATACGACTCGGAGGCTCCAAGGAGAACGACCAGTTCGTATTAAAATGAAATTTTGTGAGCATATGTAAGTTAATTCTGCGCACGTTTTAAAAATATAGAGCGTTCTACAGGGTGTCCCCAAAAAAAGTTACACATCAAATTTGTGTTTTTTTGTAACGGAATACCCCCTTTATTAATTAATTTTTAGATTCTAAGAGAAAAATAAAGGTGTATTTTATTAGGGAAGTATATGACTGAAATGTAAGGTTTTAGACTTACTTAAGATTTTGAAGAACAATTTTTAAATTTCAAGAAAAACTACCTAAATTGGAATTTACTCTATTGCACTTTAAATCAAATTAAACCCTGACCCATAAAGTTATACAGGGTGGGGCAAAATTAATGCTGAACATTGGTATAACCTGTATAACTCCTTTATTACCCACCCTGTATAACTCCTTTAGTTTAATTGAATCACCCAGAATATTATTCCGATATTCAATGGGAAATTCATGTCACTTCCAAATACTATTAAAGTTGCCGGCCTACCCCTCAAACAAAGATTTTCCTAGATATTTTCATTTCTATGATTTAGTGTGAATAGATCTTTATTATTTGATAAAATCTAGGGTGGCTGTGATATGTCTGACGTTACTTCAACATAGCTGTCAAATTAGTTCAACTTTAGCAACTAGTTATCATTTTGTGTCAGTTCGTCAGTTGAAACCAAAGAGGTTGTTGAAACAAAAAAAAATCTAAGAAATTTTCCGAAAATAGAAACTTATCCTACATCAGAAAGAATTGATATGATTCTACTTTTAGATTCAAATTTTTGTTATATAATTATACATTTATATCTAATTTTAATTCTGTGATAATTAATATATGTTTTAAACGTATGTTTTTATTACAGTATTTTATACTACATCCTTTAATTTTTGATAAATTAACACAGCCACCTAGATTTTTTTCAAATAATAAAGATCTACTGATGCAAAATCATAAAAATGAAAGTATCTAGGAAAATCTTTGTTAGAGGGGTAGGCAACCTTAATAATATTTTGAAGATATATGAATTCCCCATTGAACACGGAAATAATATACTGGGTGTTCCATTTAAAATAAAGGAGTAACTTGCTTTTCAAAGTGATAAATGTTCAATATAAGTTTTGTCCCACCCTGTATAACTTTTCCTGTCACATTTTAATTTGGTTTAACATATTATGGTTATTGTAACTAAATATCAGGCTATACAGGATAAATTACAATATAGATAGCTGTTATTGAAATTTAAATTTTATTCTTCATTTTCACAAAATGTGAAATATGTCAAAATCCTTACATTCTAGGCACATGCTTCTTTAATAAAACACACCTTTATTTTTTCCTGGAATCCAAAAAATCAATTAATATATAAGGTATTCCATTACAAAAAACAACTTTAATGTATAACTTTTTGGGGGACACCCTGTATAACTATATATTTTTATAAAATGCTTTCAATTAATCTATATATGCTTCATTTCCAAGCCCACTCCCACGCCGTTTTTTTCGATCGTATGGTATATTCAATAATTGCATTACTTATAATTTATAACAGTTTATGTTCACTGATTCATTTATAATTTATATCCACTTAATTACTTGATTTATCCATCATAAACTTTGCATAGATAAAGAAATAACGATGGACAATTCTTAATGTGTTAAATTATACCGTATGATCCAAAAAAAAAAGGCGTCCGATTGGCTTGGAAATGATGGTCGATGACATTCCCCATATAATTTTACATATCAAATGACAGCGATCTTCATTTCATAGCCATCACTGACGCCGTTTTTTCGATCATACGGTATATGGTAAAAGCCATCGATCACCATTTCTAAGGTAACTTAACGCCGTATTTTTACATACAAAATGTGCAAAAAATTCTATATGAATGAACTCACCACAATTTTCTATCCACTTTGTACATAAATTAGGATCTCTTGACGCAGGAAACTTAAACATATGTACACCTGATTTCCGAGAAATCCCACAATTATAAAATTGGCACTTATTACCAGACATTTTAATAATAATTTTATTATCACTAATCACACACAGTTATAATCAAAGACAGTCAAAGGTAAATTACCCGCCTTTTAAAATATCCGTTAAAAACAAAAGACAGTAACGACATATCTAAATCTTCTATCTTTGTCGCATATGGTTCGTTCCTTTATTATTCCGTGATAAGGGAAGGAATAGAGATTTTCTATGATAAGTGGTAAAGCTAGGTTTTCATATGTACAAATTTGAAAAACTTTCCAGGAAATTCGGTCATATTATTTTCATTAATAAATTGTTTATCATAAATAAATTTATTAAAAAAAAAATTTTTGAACGAATAGGTATTCAAATTCTAAACGTTTCAATTAAAAAAAAAAAATTGGCCAAGTGCGAGTCGGACTCGCGCACGAAGGGTTCATTATCATTGAATGTACCATTCACACGTTATCTATACAACATCAGACATTATATTATTGTAAACTTTTTTCCGATTTAGCTGAAATTTTGAATGCGCTTGTAAGTAATTTAAAAAAAATGAAGAAATACATTGCTAAAAATTGTATTAATCAATAATAAATAAGTAAAAATAAATATGTAAAAATAAAAAAAAAGATTAAGAAACAGTCACCTTGCCTACGATTCGAACCTGCCTCACTACGTCTCACCGCCTTCAAATCCTAACGCCTTTAACCACACGGCCACTCGAGGACTTGAATATTCTTTGTAAAATTCTTACTTAAACGATAATGTTTAGTGAAAGTACTTTTTTATTTATAAACATTTATTTAATTCTGTTTTTAGTATTTGTTCTTATAGCGGCAACATAGATACATTAATTATCTGTAAAATTTTCAACTGTCTAGCTATAAAGTTAGTTAATAAGAATTAATAGGTGTAGCATATTTCAACATCATTCACTGGTTTTAAAAAGATCAAAAAAATATGCATGTGTGTTTATAGTATAAATGGATTGCTCCTTACGTTAGTTCTTATTGATATAATAGCAAAAAAAGTATAAAGTATAAGCGCAATTTTATTAAAAATATGTTATTCTAAGTTAGAATAATATAGAGTTAAAAAATATGTGTTACAATTTCTAACACATATATTTTTTTTAACTCTAATGTTCTAAATTAATTGTTCAAAATATAATTGTTATTTTTTTTCTAGGAAAGATAAAACTTCATTAATTTTCATAAATAAATTTATTTCTATTAAATTTTATAGAGCAATATGTACTACAGTTTTATTTCACATTTTGTAATACTGCTTGCTCGTGCGGTGCCCCATTGCTATCTGTGAGTTCATTCAAATTATGAAAAATCACTACTGATCTAGAAGATAAAATGTACCTAAGTACCATAATATTATAATCAAAAATGACTAATTTTGTAAATTATTACCTATAATGGTTAGATGAGATGCATGTAAACTTCTTTAGGCTGGTTTCTTAAAGTTAGGTGATTAATTATCTTCGCATCGTCATAGGCTCTAATCAATTGTAGATTATTCTTCAATCAACCTGAAATATGTAATATTATTTACTTTATATCTATGAAAATTATCATTTTCTTTATGAAAATTTTGAGTTTAAATTTAAATGTGATTAGAATAAATATACGTCACTAATTAACATTTTATCACAGGTAATATTCTATATTACTTTATGTTTACTTTTGTGAAAATATTACTTACCTATAATATTTAAACGAGTTCCTGAATGTACAATTTTACTTGTTTATCACGATGCCGAGTTCTGAATCTTGTATTGGTTGTCTAAAACTGATTTTGCTTAGTTATATTGTATCCTATATTTTATTAAACAAACTCAAAATAATGTTTATAATTACCTTCATCAGCCTTTATACCATTAAAAGTCATTATTATCAGTTATTATTATGTAGTATGTAGTTATTTCTTTGAGTTATTTGTTGTTGTTTGTTTTCAAAAATCATTTTTGAGGTTAATATCATATGAAACTTTTCGTAATTAGGCAACTGGTAAATGACGTGTGACGATAAATTAATAAAATAATAATGTACGTATTAAGTTAAATATTTATATATTAATTTAACATCCGGTATTACCTAACATCCATATCTATTTCATGTTTATAAATTACATAATTTTTAATTTTATATATTCATAATGAAATGAAATATATTTCGATATAACGTTTGGCAACCACGCAACTGAAGTGCAAGCGACATCTGTGCAAGAGAAGCAAAACCTCCCAAAAAAGTTAGAAAAGGAATCTAAAAATTTCAGATTATTCAAACGTCACTCCAATATTTTTCCAAATTGGAGTGAAATTGGGGTGACAATTTTTAACACGTAAGGAGCCATCTGGATTATGTGTTATCTGTGAACTTATGTGGACGAGTCAAGCTTTTTGAATAATTGGCGAATGCGCCAGGAATTGGTCCTTGTTTTGAGATTTTTGTTCAAGTGTGTTATTGTGTGTTTAAATTATTTTTAGACACAAACAAAACTGTATAATTATAGAAATTTGTGGCATTTGATCTGAGAAAAATAACATGAAAAAGAATCCATCAAAACTAAAATTCTGTGCAAGAAATTGCGCAAGCAAAGAGTAATATAGAAGAACGATACCATAATAAAATATACATAAAGGAAGACATACAAATACAGTGGAATATTTTATAGAATCGATAAATGATGTTATTATTCTCCCACAAGGGACAAAATATGGGAATCAAGCTATTGTAGAGAAATGAAAGTTAACCATAAACAACATGAAGCAAAATTCTAAGTAGATGGTATGGAAATCCTATAGAAATATAGTCAATTGAATGTTTTATAGAACTGATGCATGGGGATATTATGATTTCAAGCAAATATGGGAGTAAAGTTATTATAGCGAAATGAAAGTAATCCAAAAAAAACTTGGACTAAAGTTTCCTAAGTAGATAGTATTCTACCAAAAATGTCAAAAATCGAGAACGTGTCTACGATAATAAGGAACCATAAAAAATAAAAATGTACTCAGAGACTCATTGCAATTTTTTTCTTACTTAATTAAATTTAGAAATCATGAAATCCATTGATGAACATTAAAAACCAGTGAAAATACATTTACCTAAGAGAAACGAAATTTTAAATATACTTGTAAGTCCTGATGCATTGTTGGTAATGTTCGTGAGAAGGATAAATGTACTGCCCTGGAACTCTAATGTATATGTAATGTACATCCATTGATTTGTTTCAGAAAATCTATAAAAAAGAAATAAATAATATTAGATTTCATTAATTATGCTTAATAATTGTGTTTATTTTTCTGTTCATATTAAAAGTAAATATATCGTAAAAAATATAGTCTGTTAATAAACATTTAATAAATTTATTTTTTCAATAATTAAATAAACTTACTTTTAATCGGATAACAGAAAACCAATCTCATAAACCAGAATAATTGCCAAACATCAGAGTTATATAAAGGGTGCTCAAAGTCTTTTCTTTAAGTGTTCTTTAGGTGCTGGGTCTGTATTATAACACTTCTAAAAAAGAAAATTCAAAATTAAAGCATTATATTAAAACAATGCAGATTTGTTGAATATGACGACGTTAAAAATGTGAAAACAATTTTTTTATCTGAAAGTATTATGTAATTATTGATATATGTATATATTATATACTTTAGGTACACTATCCCTTCTATATCTCTGAAGTACACTAACACTGACCTATTCAGACGTAGAAAATACTTGATTGCCTCAAATGCCTGAACGAACAAACATATAAAAAATTTTACCTATAGAAATATAAAACATCTCTACCTAAATATTTCTAAATAGGAAGCAATATTCTAAATAACTTTATTTTTATTGTACAATAGAGACATGAAGGAATGTATCTATATTTCCATATACTCGATTTTGAAAAAGAAAACTTGAAAATTGGAAAAATATATGCCTTTAATGATGATGTAATTGGCAAAATAATGAGTACTTACATTTTCAGGAGATTAAACAGGCCCTAAGGAACAGAATAAACTCAAATAGTGCACAGAAAAATCACTTTTTCTATTAAAAAAATTGAAAGAGCCACATAACAACTTGCTGTTAACAAATGAAAATGTTGCTCTGCCAACGTTGTCAGATTGAACACATGTAAAACAGAATGGTAATTTTTTGCTCCATAAATAATGTTGGTGCCGAAAAGCAAATATACCATTTATTTTACTAAAACAAAGTTTGTATTATATGTTTATTAGATTTATCACGACTTTGTAACGGCTCAATGCATTTTAAACTTACAAAAATATTGACTTATATTAGTTCCAGAAATTCGCTGATATCCTGGCAACCCTGGAAACACTTTAGTTCAAAATTTTCTCACTTTTTCCATGATGGCGCCACCGGCACTCTTCTTCTTTTTTGTATTTCAGGTTTTAAAAGAACAGCTAGCACAGATTAAAAGTAATGTTCTTCTTCTTTTTTATATTTATGGTTTGAAACATGGTCAACTACAGATCTGATATAGATTTTCTCTTCTTTTCTGTTAAATGGCTTTAACTCAAGTGGTCATTCGGCCAGAGTCCAGAAAAAAATTACCAAAAAGAGAAATCTATGGTAAATTATTAGAGAAAACAAGTAAAACACAAGAGAGACAACTTTGAGAGACAACAACAAAAATAAACAAGTACAGCGGTGGTAAAGAACTTCCTTTATAAAATAATCAAATTAAATTATTCTTATAATATTGTTTTTGTTATACGCTGTGGCTGTGATAATACCCACTAGAGTATTATTTATTAGTGTGCATGTACCTTTGTTTTGCCATAAACGAATTAAAATTATTAAGTAATTGGTATTTTTTTCTTAAAGTCTTTGCTTAAAGTTAGTTAACTCAAGGCAAGTATCACTTGCTGTATAATTTAACCTAGATTATATTGTGAATTAAAGTTATAGATACCGAATGAAATTAAGAAAATTATTCTAAAATATTGTTGAATGTTTAGGTACTATATACATACCTATTTTTATTTATAGATCATGGTTACTTGTTTTGCCCCAACATGTAAACATTACAGTGACAAATATACGTGCAAGTTTTTCTATTTTCCCAAGAATCCTGAATTATTAAGAAAATGGATTCAGATGGTGAGGTAATATCATTATTTGAATACTTACTTTAATATATCAGTGAAGGGCCCCTACTGTGTCTACTCGAGCATAATAGTTTCCCTACATTAAGTGAAACTCATTTTTAGACGTCAAGACAGGGAGCCCAACAAAAACTCCCGCATATGCAGCTGTCATTTTGTGAATGGGGATAGAACAACTATTCCAACATTATTCAATTATAACTTGGAAAATTCTTCTGGCTTTTCAAAAGGTGGACATAAAAGGTTCGTATTTATATAATCTGCAGTATTTATTTTCTAATCATTCAAAAAAAAACCCTGTACAACACACGGAAATGGGACACCCCGTACATTAGGTAACATTGATCGAATTTCAGATTGAAAGAAGAAATGCCTCAAGCAGAAGATCCACTTGGATCATCTACAACAATTTGTGAAGAGGATTCAACTGATGGTAGTGCTGACATGGCTAGGCCAAGCGAAGAAATTGATGAAGTGTCTCCTTCCGTACCTATGACTAAAAAGGTGAGTTTATATAATATGCATTTGTCATAAAGAGGGTGTTTCTTAAGCAGTCTAAAAAATATATGGTGCATTTCTTCATATGTTTTTAAGACAAAAATTTTGTAGGAACATGGGGTCTTTTTTTTTCCATAACAAGGGGCCGTCCTCTGCTGGAAACACTGCGACCTGTGAGGCCTATTGTGTTTGTCACCCTTCTATATCTGCACCCATTCTCCTATCCCTGTGCTCTGCACTAGCTTATGCAGGTCCTTGATAGGATGGGAGCATAGTTCCTCCGGTTCTAGCCTAGCTTTCCCAAATAAAGAGTGTCGCTTGCGATCCAGAGCCTCGCAGGCCATATTATGTGCTCCGCTGTTTCAGGATCTTTATCGCAGAGTCTGCAGCAAAGTCTTCCTTGATACAGGTTGAGTTTGTTCAGATAACACTTGACAGCCATGTGTCCTGTCAAGAGGCCTGTTGTAATCCGCACTTTATTCCTGCTAAGCATTAGCAGTTCTTTTGCGGTTTTAGAGCTAGGTCCTTGGATAAAAGCCTTGCTGTGCCTGTGCCCCTGTCTGTTTCTCCAGTGGACATTGTGCTTTTCCTTGATCCAGAGTTTTAGTGCACTACGGGCCATACATTTGGGTATTCCCAGTACTGGCTCTGGACCAAGATAGGATGCCGATGATCCCTGCCTAGCTAGCTCAGTCTTGACGATACTTTTGGGTTCATAAGCGCCCCAAGTGCCGCCTGACTGTCTGAGCATATATTGATGAGCTTACCTGAATAAGCTCTTCTATTGTTTTCTCTTGCACTTTGTAGAATGGCGAAGATTTCTGTCTGGAATACGGTTGAGTGTTTACTCAAGGAAAAGGATAAGCTTGCCCTTGGTCTTTCCCCAAATACTCCAGTTCTTGTTCCTTCAGCGGTCTTTGACCCGTCTGTATACCAGGTTAGTCCATCCTGAAGGAATGTTATATCTGTCCACATTCCTCGATCCATTTTGTTCACCTCGAATGGTGTGTGGTAGTGATAAAGAGGGGTCATTTGGTCCGATCTCATTTGGAGTAGAGATCCTCCGATAGAATCTCCCATCTTTAAGTGTCCTGTTTCTGTCCTATTTCCCAGAGACAAGACACTTTGTTGTCGATAGAGTCCCATTCTTGCCTCCGCCTGGATCACTATGCGAAGAGGCGGAAGGTCCAGAAGCGCCTCCATTGATGCAGTGGGCGTTGATTTCATTGCCCCTGTTATGCTCAGACAAGCAAGTGTTTGCACCTTACTAAGGCTGAGCATTGTTGTTTGTTGCATTACCTTAGGCCACCATACCAAGGATGCATATGTTGCTGAAGGCCTCACCACTCCAGTGTACAGCCAGTGCACCATCTGTGGTCTGAGGCCCCAGATTTTTCCATGAAGTCGTCTGACTACCGCTAGTGTACTCACCGCCCTCCTTGTGACATTTTCCAAATGTCGGTTCCAGGTCAGTTTGGTATCCAGCATGATTCCTAGATACTTGACCTCCCCCGAGAGAGGAATCTCATCACCGCAGAGTCTTAGAGGTCCTAGTCCCTCCAAAATTCTTTGTTGGGTGAAGGGGATTATTACGGTCTTTGTAGGACTGATATTTAGTCCCTCCCGTGTCACCCATGATTCCACAATCTTCAGGGCCCTTTGCATTCGCTCCCTTACTGTTGTGTTAAACTTACCTCTGACTAACACGACCAAATCGTCTGCGTATCCCAGAGTGCTGAAACCAGCCCTGTTGAGACTATCAAGCAGTCCGTCCATAACGAGATTCCACAGCAGAGGGGAGAGAACTCCACCCTGCGGGCATCCTCCCGCCACCCGGACTGCAACAGTATCATTTAGTAGGGTGGTATATGCCACTCGACTTTTGAGCATGCAGTCTATCCACCTGCAGCAGGTCTCCTCTAATCCGAGGTTCCTTGTAGCTCTCGTCAGTGACTGAAATGAGGTGTTATCAAACGCCCCTTCTATGTCGAGGAATGCCCCTAAAAGCACTTCTCTTGTTTCGAACGTCGACTCCTCGAACATGGGGTCTAAAGTATGTATAATATACTCCCTTTTTAATCTACAGGCTGTTAAAACTATTAAAAATCGAATTTTTTGCTTAAAATAAATGGCACGACACTGCTTACTTTCGATTTTTTTTTCTTGATTGTCAATGTTTTTAACCAAATTGATCTCTTGGGTTTTTACTACATTGCATCTGAAAATCGCTAGAAAACGAGCATATAGTGAATATCAAGGCGGGCTTTTATAGTTGATATATTTCTTTGTCGAAAACGTTCCATGTACAAGAAAAACTCAATAGATCCAATCTTGTTTAAAAAGGATGGACAATTAAGAAAAAAATACTTTCCAGAAAAAAGCAGTGGCCGTACCATTTATTTTAATGAAATCGTACAGACGCCACTGGTTCAAATAGAAAGATAACAGTTTATGGAAAAAACCGCTTTTATACCTGGACACCATATACCAAAGTTGAAAAAAATATCTAAAGTAGTTTCTGACATATTGCAAGAATTTTTTTTGAATTTTTAACACCCTGTAGATCCGAAAGGAAGTACATATTTTGGATCCCATGTTCGTATAAACTTTTTTTTCTTAAAAATATATGGGGGATTCCTTATATGTTTTTACTACTACACTACACCCTAACATTTTTAGACTACCTAAATATAGTTCATATTAAACAAACTTTTAGTCGCGTGATTAAGCTTGACGGGGACAGTGTTGCCCACTTTTACATATTTTCATTAAATCAAAATATTTTAGGAAACAAAAATAAATTAATTTTAAATATATAAACAGTTATTATTTACATCAACAAAACTCACCTTCTTAACAGCACTTATGAGACATAAAGGGCCATTACTACCGCTTTCCCGTTCAAAATATTCTAATAAAGTTGTGATGAGTTTTTACGTCTATCAAGCTATAGATCACAACACTATTAGTATCACAACTAGCGATGGGAACTATCGAATGAATTAGACTATCCAATGGTTAATGAATGAATGATTTCAACTATCGAATGGTTTTATTCGAATAAAATCATTCATTCATTTGTATACTAAAGCATATGTGACAACCTCGCCGTGCGACTAAATGGTTATCGTTGAGCCACGACTATCGAATGCTTTTGACAAATGAAATTTAGTATTCGTTTGATTTTTGTATGCGTCAGTGCGTTATTAGTTCTTCCAAATTTTTATAACTTCGCCGTATAAATACTGTGCTATTTTTTAATTTTATTTATTGACGATTGTGTACATGTGCAGGTGGTCAAAATTTTTCCGAAAATTTGTGTGGTTTTTCGTAGTCCGATCTTTCAATTATTTAATTTTATATGGTATATGGTCTATTTTTTAATGGGAAATTTTGAGAAGTAGCAATTTTTAAGAGAGATGAGATGAACTTACAATTAATTTTAAAAATACTATTTGTATTTTAAATGTTTCAATAATATGAATTAGTTGAACTTAATAATCATATTTAAGTAATGTGGTTAAGTAAATGGTTATCTAACTCAAACTATGGAGTGAGAAAATTAAAATGAAAGTTTTACACGTGCCAATTAAAAAAAAAGTTAACGATGTTTGTATTTTGTTTATGCTAATTCTCTTACATGTAGTTTTTTGCGAAGAAATATTTCATTTATTTTTAAAGTAAATGCCAGTAAAAGTAAATATAATTTTTAAATAGTAATATAAAGCACCTAATATAAATAATTTTGATTTCTACTTTTTTATTTATATTTTCCTTCCATTACACTGCATGCTTAGAAAATTAATAAATGTTTATATTTTATGATTTTAAAATTTGTTGTTAATATAACAAATTAGTTCTGTAATTATTATTATTTAATAAACCAACGTTGCCACACACAAAAAATTTAGAGACTATATTACTTTTAAATAGGATCTAATAAATAATTTTGACATCTAATTTGTTGTTTATATTTTGCTACTACTTAAAAAAAATATTTATATTAAATGATTTTAAATTTTGTTGTTAATAGGTATAACAAATTATTACTGTTATTATTATTTATTAAACCAGTCTTTGCTTAAAAACATTAAAACTTATTTTCCTACATCCAAAATAACAAGTATTATTGCAGTGTAACAACAGAATATTAATAAAAAAAAAAATGCAGAATATATAGACATACTATCCCTAACTAAGTAAAGCCAAACAATAATATTCTTTGCTAATATCAACTAATACCAAAATATGGCAACAGCGCCCTTCATAATGTATTTTCTGTGTAAATACTAGCACCTCAATAAAAAAAATAATGTGTCCTTATCTATATCTGACTCCGCAAAAATCAAAGATGCCGGCTTCTTTCATAGCATTGCCACCGACCGCTGTCGGGTTTCTCGGAAAAAACCTACGTCGCCGGGCGACAACTAAAATTCAGTTAATATTTTATTATAATCGATCCTGACGAATAAATGAATTTCATAAATGAATGAATTTTATAAATGAATGGTTTTTGCTGCCGAATTACTAGAATACAATAGTTCAAGGCAGATGACGGATCTATTCGATAATTTTTATTCGAATAGTTTTCAACGAATGTTTTCTTACTATCGAATTATTCGAATGAATTGCAACTATCGAATGTTTCGATAGTATTCATTCGATAGTTCCCACTACTAATCACAACCCTATTTATTCAAACCAAAAACTCGTAATACAAAACTAAAGTTTCAAAACGAATGACAATGTCAGGAAATAAATAAATAAACTTGACATTTTTTACAGCAGAGCTACCACCTGAATCCCCAGCGGGAAATTTAAATTCTAGTTAGTTAGCCTGGGGTTTTCAACAATGAATTTAAAAATCGCGCTCTCGATTACGTAACTAGAAGTTTAATTGGTATCAAATATATACAGTTTGCTAAAAAAAATATGAAAATAGGATTAAAAATAAAAAATGGGGTACTTTAAACTTGTCTAAAAAAATTTCTGTGGCGTTTTTTTGCGTCTGAGTGTAGTTTAATACTGATTTTAGATTCTTTGTATGTGCAGTCAGTGCGGTGCCGTTTATATGTCTGGAACTGAGCACCAGTGCCAGCAGAGTGGCGAAACGATTAAAGTTATTATGGGAGAAGAAGAAAAGGAATCCGATGTTTCTGATATCGATAAACTTTTGATACGCGAGATATCAAAACGACCTCCCCTCTTCGATCATACATTGCCCATAGAGGAACGTACAAAAAATCAAATTAATGGTTTATGGGACGAAATGTTTGCCATATTTGGAGGTAAAAATTAGTAAATACCATTTATAAGTAATACTCCTATAAGACTAGTAAAGAATCTACATAATGCAGGCTGTCGTAATATTCCGCAGTAATACACATTTTTTCAGATATTTTAAGAACCGTTTTTCTAATTTCAATGAGATTTCGGGTGTCATGTTTTGCTAAGCGTTTTAACAATTGACTTTCACAAAAATAAAAAAAAAATACGGGAAGAAGAGTACAAAAATGCATTTCGGGGCACTAACCGTAGGTACTATAATGTTGTAGTGTAGACAGCACAACAAATTACATACCGATTTGGTCATTCTAGAAGTGTGGTCTGGATTCTAACGTGTAAGAGAGTGATGTAGGCAGCTTAATGGAATATCAAATGTATTAAAATGAGATAAAAGTTGGGTTGATATGCGGTATTGCCGGATTTTGCATCAAAAGTTCAAACTGCACAAGTAGGCGTTTATTGAAAATGTTGCATCTACGGTTGGTACCTTATTTTTCACAATTAGTTACTCATTTTACTACAGATGTAATAGATTTAGCTTAGATATATTATCTTCATTTCAGTAGTATGAAAATTTTTAAAATAGTTAATTTTTTTCTACACAAATTTTCCTACAAACGTTAAAACCGGCAACACTATGCCGTTTTTGATTTTGTCTCTCTGTCTGTCAACCAGTCATTTATATTATTCTGTCTTACACGTTAAAATCCAGACCACACTTCAAAAATGACCAAATCGGTATACTAGCCTTATAGGTGTATCACTTATATGGTAAATACTTTATACTATATTTATAAATTACGTAGATTACATGACTTTGGACGAGTTGAAAAAACGCTGGAAGTGTATACGCTATGGGTATGTTCGATCGCGAAATATTGGTTCAAAATTGCAAAAGAGACATAAATATCATCACTTACTAGATTTCTTAAACGACACTTTAGGACAACGGAAGTAAGTGTATTTGGCTTGTAACATAAAACGTATTATCTGATTTTTTTAATTTTTTAGAAAATGCGGCAGCCCTGTGGAAGATGCCGCTTTTATGAATGAAGAATTAGATGAGGAGTCATATGGTAAAGAATATTTAATTTTTATGAATATTGTCGTTGTTGCGTCTTAAAATGATTTTGTTTTATACAGGGTGTTGGAAATAATAATTGTAACCCCTATTTTTCTGTACACAATTGAGCGTCCGGATTGCACAACGACCTTAGCGCGTGGCCGCGGGCAGCCGAGTAGGCAAGCGAGACAGCGACGCGTTGTTGCACGCCGATTAAACAAAATAAATAATTTTAAACCTGCCGTCATTTCGTTAATAATTATCGTATCGTGCTGATTTTTGCATAGAAATACTCATGAGTCTTTAGCGCTTCCGACAAGCCTAAATAACTGGATTATTTTTTATATTTTTGTTTACTTTGCCCGAGCATATTATAAATTTGAGATAAAAATCTCTGTTATAAATTTTAAAACTGACAAATATGAATACTATCATTTAATTAGTTATACATTTAGTTACAACATATTCAAAATTTAGGTCTATCGGTTTATGCGAGCAGTAATAACGAGTATAAATAAAAAAATGGTCAATACAACGCTCGCCGTTTTTAGCGCACGTTCAGCTCTGGGTTTAGTTTTAGCGCTATTTTTACAGAAAATAAATTCTGAACTTTGATCAAATGACAAGAACATTATCATTGCCAATATCTCCTTGTTACAGAAAATAAATTCTGAACTTTTTGATCAAATGACAAGAACATTATCATTGCCAATATCTCCTTGTTATAATGTAGTTCTTTTTACAAAATATTGCATTGTTTTAGCTTAAAAAAACTTGAATTATGCGGCTTTTTTGCGAGAGCTACCGGAGCTGGGTTAATAAAGAGATGGCTATGTACGTCAAAATTTTGTTAAGAACAGTATATCCGAAAAGTGGTTTAAATCTGTAGTGAATTTAACCTTATTGATACTTAGCTATTAGGGATGAGCAAAACTGCGATTTTCTAATCGCAATTGAAACTGCCATTGCGATTTTTAAACCCTGTATATTAGGGTGGGTCAAAAAAATCGACTATTTTTTTCACTTTATACTCTGAAAAAAAAAAGGAATCGTTAAGTATTTTACCGTGAGTTTAAATTAGTGGAGCCATGGAATCTGTAATATTTTTTCGAACAGAGTACTTCCATAGTAGTTACTTTAACGATAGAAACTTAAATTTGTAAAAAAATTCCCAAAACTCATAAAATAAATTGGAACTGTTAAAATTATTGTGCATTGAAGTTTGACGATGAATATCTTTTAAACGGTTAATTTAAACGCCTAACCATAAGAAACAGTTACTGTAGAGCAGTGAATTTCCTACAAAACTGTGAGTTGCGCGTATCATAATGATTTTTTGTTAACGAGTTATAGATTATAAAATTCATAAAAAAGAAATTTGCCTTAAAATCATCAAACTTACAACCTTTAATAACTTTCGAACGGTGAGGTTTACAAAAAAATTGTAGAGACATTTTTTGTAGAGAATTCAATTTCCTACAAACATATGAGACGAGATATTTTTTTCCAAATACGAGATACCGAGATATGAATTTTTCTTTCTAATAATAATGAAAAAATAGAAAACTGAAAAGCGGAGGACCTTCCTATTAAAATTAAGAGCTCACACTTTGAGAGAATTTTGTTGAGGTGTTTACCAATCTTTTTTTCAGATTTTAAAGTGAAAAAAGTCGATTTTTTTGACCCAGCCTACTGTATATGTCTACTTAAACCTATTTTACAGACGAAGGACCATCAACAAGTAGGGTATCATCGACTCAGGATACAAGAAAAAGTACGTTTAGTACGTTCTTTTCTTTTAGTAAGAGTATTAATTTTAATTTATTTTCAGAACGCAAGATAAATATTCCCCACACTGAATCACATCCTGAGGAAGATGAGGTGGATCACTTCTGCAAGTATTTTGGTAGTCAATTGCGCAAACTCGATGACAAGTCTAGAATGGAAGCGCAACTGGAATGTATGAGAACTGTTCAAAATTTTTTATATAACAAAAATACGAGCTGAGAAAAAAAAATTAGCTATTAATAACATTAATTTATTCTTTCCCATTCTACTGTGTCTTCATTTAAAAAATTCCATACGATCGAATAAAAAACGGCTTCAGAAACGGCTGAGAATGACAATTGACGGTAATTTTCGAGGTCAAGCCAATGACTAAAGAATACAAGGACATGTAATGGCCATATACGAGCTGCAGGAAAATTTGTGTCCTTTAGACGCTATTTTTTTGGACATAACGAATGAATCATCAGGTGTTCATCAGCGACAATTTTAGCGATTTTTAATAGTTGGTTGTGTGTAGTGAACTTTGTATAAACTTTATTACAATGGTAATTTGTTCAGCTTTCAAGTGTAAAAGGCGCTGAATGATAAGAAAGATCCAGGAGTTACGTTTTATAGGGAAATAAACAGTCCACTACACCTTTTTAGCGTTTTTTTTATTGAATTCGATAATTATTCCTCAATTTCAATTAACATTTATATGTACTTGATATGTGCTATACGTCGATACTAGTTTTATACCTTGATGATACCACAGGATACACCAGAGGCGTAGTAAAAATATTTACCAAAAATATAAATATCGCTTCAAGCGGCTATGTTAAGAAAAAATATGTGCCACGGCACTGTTTGGAAGAATGGTCACAGTTTGGTCTCGGTTGCTATTTGTCCTTGTATTCTTTAGTCATTGGGTCAAGCCCTAAATGTCGCGTTGACCTCGCCAAAATTATCATCGATTGTCATTCCTTAGGAGTCTTTGATGCCGTTTTTTCGATCATAAATCTACAAAAAAGGGTATTTTTTTGTAAACACTACTGCGTTGAATGGAAATGGAGACCAATTTGTCAGTGGAATTTTACTGGTAAAACAAATTTGCCTAACCAACAAAAAAATTCTTGTTTCAGGACGTGTATCTCCTCCTTTCGTCGAAATAAAACAAGCATAAAGATCAAAGAAAAAAAAAAGATATTTAAAATATCTAAATTGCTGTCCTCCATTCGCGAATTTCAAGTTCCAGAGCTCAAAGGCCTTCGCTACTCAGAACGGTTGAGCTCCTGAAAGGAGCTGTGCGCGATAGCCTGGTGTCTCCATATGGCGCGGAACAGTTATGAACTTTATGACTCAATTGAATAGAGTGAGAGTATCGCGTTCTTGAACAGTTCAGAGCTGCACAACTGCGTGAATGGAGGACAGTAAATATGACTATCCCAAGAACATTTTAGTTTTTTTAGCAGATGTGTCTATTATCTTTGTATAGAAAGATTAAGAAAGGAGTATAATGCTATCCATGTATTCATGCATGGTAGACGAAGAGCAGGCTCTAGGGTGAGGATCGTTGACACTTCTGTTCGACGATTCATTTGACACATTTGAATTTGATTTGAAGTTTTGTGGATTTGTCAGTCTTTACTGATGTTATTTTATGTTATTTATTATTTATTCTTCTACTGATAGTTGTTTAAAGGTAGAAAATCTAGGAAATTGTGGCAGAACTTAAATTACCAGTGACACTATTGCGATTTATCGAAAAAGACTGTAAAATAGTTGGATGTGTAGCGTGCGGTACATTTCGGTCAAAAATCGAGGGAAATAATGGAATAACTTTTCGCTAGTAAGTTACTATATAATATAAATTACGTGTAGTAAACCAATCATTTATAAAATTCGCCTAAAATTAATTAATTATATATTTTTTCTTGCATTTTTGCTTTTATTTACTACGATAAAGATTAGATGGGAAAGAATTTAGATACGTCAATTTGACTTAACCTGCTTCAGTAGCGTATCGGATGTTTATGTTAATAAATAATTATTATAACTTATCTATTTTTATTAGAATTATATATTTTTATAACAATTTTAATAACCACCAACATTTATTGACAACGTAAAATAAAACAAATTATTGAGTCTTCCCCATGTCTACTCTAAATACATCATATTTATACGTTTTGAGTAAAATTAGAACGGCACTGATAAACCGGAATTTAAGTCGGCCATTCTAGGACCCCATCGCGTTCGATCTAAGATTTTTGATACGCTCCTTCCTTAATCTTTTTATTCAAAGTTTATTATAAACCGCTGATGTTCTGCTAATATGATATTTAAAGGCAAACTTCAAATTAATAATTACTGCCTGATAATTTCATAATGAGGTAAAACCAAAAAGCTTTAAACTTTCTGTATATGATTATTTTTAGGAACTTAAAACTATTATATCACAAAATCATAACTAACTAATAATAATAATAATAATAATAGGTAATTGAAATCAATACTGGATGTCTAGGGCTATTTATAAAAACATTTAACATAAATAAGACAAAAATGTATTAAATAACAATAATATTTTTAACTTAAATACACCTGACGGTTGAATAAAAATGACGCCACAATATTAAAACATGCATTTTTCAATAAATCCTAAAGCCTAAAGCCAAAATGAAGAAATTATTTCTTTTCCAAAACATTATTTTTACTCCTTTTTTCTTTAGATTTTCTCTTGGCGTTGTTATGATATTGTGCTCTGTATCTCGCAGAATTCTATTAATACGACAGAAGGTTTATAAATAAAACCTCGACAGGAAACGATATTTAACCTTGTTTTTACATCGAATTTGTTCAACTGAATTGTCCAGATTCAGAGATAAAATTAGGGATCCAAACAGAAGTATATTAGTCCGGTCGAACTACCAAAATCCGTGTGTTTAGTAGGGAGCCTATTTTTATGATTCTAAATAATTTTTAAGATGTTAACGTAGAAATGAGCGTGGAAGTCACTTTTTTTTTGTAAACACGACTGCGTTAATCCAAACGGAAACTATATATACTATTTTATTTTTATTCGTTTAACGTTTTGTCAATAAAATATGGTGGATAGGTAGTCGTTTTTTATTAATGTATTTTTTATATGGTTGAAACACAATTTAAATGGGGCAACTATAGGGCTCCGCTAGCTCTATCCGTAGAGGCATTTAGCTACTTACCATTTCCGAGAGGAAATATCTTATTTTTATTTACATCTTTATTTTTTTTCTGCTGGTATAATTTAATGCAGCGAAAATTTTCGAAGTGATTTTCACGCTTAATTTCAACGTTTAACACCTTAAAAATTATTTAGAATCATATAAAAAGGCCCACTAAAAAAACTCACGGGATTTACTATCTCAACCGGACCTATAATATAGCAGAATTTTAACAATTTTCAAGCCGAATCTGTCCAGCTTCTGATAGACTTCTTTCAGATTGGTAAAGTAAGCATTTTCCTCGATTTTAATGTTGTTTGAAGTAAATTTCAACTTGCAATAGATGGCACATCTTGTCGGACATTTTCCATCATTAACTATTTAGAAACAAAAAATGTCCGACTTCATTTAGCTAAACTGGCCGTCAACCTATTTATTCTCTCCTCTAACATATTGCAGTTCTTCTCCAAAATATTATTCTTCTCCTCTTCTTCTTTAACGATCCTAATCAGGTACTGGTTGTCGTTGAAGGCAGTTTCATTTTTGTCACCCTGACCGCTACTGATATTACGTCTTTCGCTCAATCTATTAAAGGTTCTTTTACACTTATCGCAGTCGTCTAGCCCTTGGGCCGCCAGACAACCAGGGTGAAACTCGTTTAGACACTTGACACATCTTATGTAGGCGTCTACGTCGTCCAGACAGAGTTTGCAAACGTTCCCTGCAGCTGTTACCAGTCGAGACCGTAATTTAGTCGGAACAGATGATTTTTTCTTGGCATTGATAGTATACTGTGCCCGGTATTTCAAATAGAATTCTATTTCCTTTAGTATGACAGAAAGGGCTTGCAAATCCAAGACCTTGACAGGAAACGATATCGTCACCTTGTTTCGACATTTGATTTCGTCAACTGACCTGTTGTCCTGTTTCAGAGATAAAGTTAGGTCTTCTGAGAGATGGACTGCGAACATCAAAGTAGGATTTGGTTGGGGATCTAAATAGAAGAAGTAAATGTAACGGGGTTCTCTAATTTTAAACCAACACGAGTCCAGCTTTGTGCGCTTCAGTTTCTCAAAGGCTTCGTCCAGATTCTTAAAATAAGCCTTATCCTCAACTTCCATGGCTTCGTTGGTTTGAGGCTCCTTAGAAACTTCGTTATTTACAGACATTTCTAAAGGTTGTGGGACAGGTTCGGTGTTCTCCGGAATAGCCTCGCTGCGTTGAGTTTGGTTTCTTGTGAACTTAAACGGTACTGCATCTAATACAAAAGAAAATAAATGATAAAAAATTATAATTGTAGCCAATCGTAGATTTTTCACCAGAGTCAGAACTTTTGATGCAGTTAGTTTCTATTTGACAAGTAGATGACAAAATTACCGTCTTTTAAATTACTAATGCAAAAGTTGTGGAGAATTCAATTCCTTTTTTGTCGAAAAATGTAATCACAAAAAACATAAAAGCCAAGATGACGGACACTTCCTATATCAAATAAGAGTGTATGTGAGTGAACAAGACTGTGATTTTGTCATTTACTTGTCAAGTAATTGGCCAATTGAAAAAAAAAATATCAATAAACAATATTCCCAAAGGAGACTGTTAGAGAGAAATAAAAATACGGATCACTTTTTTCTGTCAAATTAATAAATAGTTCTTACACAGACTTTAAATAAAACCAACCTTGGACTAATCGTGTTTCAGTAGAAGTAGACAACAATTTGCCAGTGGATCTCGATATCAAGTGCTTGGTAACCCATTCCACATCTGGTGCTCCAAAATGAAGTAGGCAAACCTACAACAAAACATTTTCTTATTATTTGTAGGATTGTGGTATGCTTTCACAAAAATAAGTGAATTTGTCCAAATGTGCATAAATTCACTAAATAATAAAAAGACCAATGAAGGATTATATTATTAACAACTAGCTGGACCCGCGACTTCGTTCGCGTGGAATTGATCATTTGTAATGGTGATGATAAAGCAAAGCAAGAATTAACATTAACATACAAACTGGATAAAATTTTCTCACATTTATGTCAGCATGAGAAAAAACAATATGGCGATATTATTAAATAACTTGGTGATATTTGAGAGGTAGTTTCATCTCGTTGGAATTTGACTTTCAAAAAATCCGTTTGCCAAAAATAAGCTTTTTACGTCAAGCAGTTTAAGCAGAATCGTGGTTAATCAATTAACCATCTTTTTGGAACACCCTGTATGATTTTTTAAAAAATTTCAAAATATGTAAAAAACAAAATAAATTATGCGTGTCCAAGCGTTTTCCCGAAACACTAACCGTTTTTTAAATAACAAATATTGTAATATTTGAGGGGCGTTTTCACCCTCTTGGAATTTGAGTTTCGAGAAACCCCTCCTTATCGAACCTCTACACACCACAGCCAATCCGTTTGCCAAAAATCAGCTTTAAACGTCAAGCATTTAAGCAGAATCGAGATTACTCAATGGTCATGTTTTATGAAACACCCTGTATAAATTTTTAAAAAATCTTTAAATATGTAAAACAACAAAATAAAATATACGTGTTTAAGAGTTTTTCCGAAAAACTCACCGCTTTTTAAATAAAAAATATTCGAATATTTGAGGGGCGGTTTCACCCCCTTAGAATTCGAGTTTCGAAAAATCTCTTCTTATCGAACCTCTACACCCTAAAGTCAATCCGTTTTCCAAAAATCAGCTTTTTACGTCAAGCGCTTTAACCAGGATTGTGATTAATCAATGAGCAGATTTTTCGAAACACCCTGTATACATTTTAAAAAAACCTTAAAATATGTAAAAAACGAAATAAAATATACGCGTTAAAGCGTTTTTTCGGAAACTTAACCTTTTTTTAAATAAAAATATTGTAATATTTGAGGGGTGGTTTCACCCCCTTGGAACTGGAACTTCTAAAAATCCCTTCTTATCGAACCTCTACACCCTAGAATCAACCTGTATGCCAATATTGAGCTTCTTACGTTGAGTGATTTGAGCAGGATCGTGATTAATCAGTGAGTCAGTCACTTGATTTTATATATTAGTATAGATTACTGACACTGTGAAGGTAGTTTATTACGACCAACTTACGAAGGGGTCGCAAATGCGAAATATCCTAATTCGCCCTGTATGTCAGGAACCTAAAGGGCTAGGGCAAATCTGTACGTAGCATCTTTAGATTCATTAAAAAGTAGCAAAGTAATGTAAAAACCGCATCTTTGTATCACTACTCATAAACGAGAAACCCCATAAACACACAAAAATGGCACACCCTGTACTTGAGACTATCCTTAGCTTTTCATTCAATGCCTACAACCGTATGATTATAGAACTCACCTTGGAAGAACTATTAACTTCAAGAGGTTTGTCAAATAGATTATCCAGCCATTTTTTCTTCAAAGCTGGATCTTTAGGAAACGGAAACATATCTACTTTGGGTCCAATTGAGGAGTTACTATTGCAGTAAGGCAAACAACATTTTTGAGATTGTACTAGAAAAACAAATAACAATGATAAAAAGATCTATAAAAAAATTGCGTGTGCACTACGTACGCATATTTGAAGTAAAACTTCTTAAGCTATTAATTTGAAGGAAATGTTTGAAAAAATGTAGTTTGAAATATTGAAAAAGTAATAAATCAAAAGAATATATTTACGCGTAAAAAATAGTATTTTATGTGTAACAAATAGTTTTTTAAGCGTAAAATATTGTTTTTTTTAAGTGTAAAGCCGCGTCCAAGCTACTCGAACAAAACGTTCGCGAACATATATAATTCACACTATATACTCGTAGCAGCAGGTTGTAAACGACGGCACAGCCCATCACATCGGTCCGGAGGACTCAGGTGCGGGGAAGAATGCGACAACCAGTTTACCCTATAGATCCAGTATGCGTTTAGGTAGTCGCTGTTTTTTCAAGTGCCCGGATTTCAAGTGCAAGCATTTTATTAAATAAATCAAACAGTTTAAGAACTTTTGTCGTGGAAAAATCAATATTTAGCAGGCGGAGGGTTACAGGGGTCTTTTGGTAGATTATTCGTTATAGTGTATTTTTAAGACCTGTATTTATTTTCAGCCGATTCTACCAGGTGTTTCTCAAAAGGGGCTTACTTTTTCATTTTTTCAGATAATACAACGAAATTTGGTTTGTTAGTATATGACATAAATCGGGATTGATTGACGTATTCTCCTTCGGTATTCTTCTTCCTTCGGTCGCTTCCGGTTTCGCCGGAAATGACTACAACTTTGTATTTTTAGATTGTATCCTAAGTACTTTTTTACTTTATTTGATAGAAAATGACATTCTGAATAGAATGACATACCATACGTCAATTTTAGACAATTCCAATTAAATAAAAATAGCATTTTAAATTTCAGTCTAGAGTGCCAAGACTGAGTTAAAACTATTAATTTGCAATCAAAGAACTTTGGAAACATATATTTGATGGTGTAATTTTTTTTTCGTATCCTTTCATGGCCGCTTAAAAGACGCCCAAATCGTATTTTTAATGATAACTAAAATTTTTCAAATGGTACGAGGCTGGCTTAGCATATTTGGAAAAAGCATTTTTTACGAATAATTTGGTACCACATACTAAGACTGAGTTAAAACCATTAATTTACAATCAAAGAACTTTGGAAACATATATTTGATCGTGTAATTTTTTTTCGTATCCTTTCATGGCCGCTTAAAAGATGCCCAAATCGTATTTTTAATGATAACTCAAATTTTTCAAATGGTACGAGACTGGCTCAGCATATTTGGAAAAAGCATTTTTTACGAATAATTTGGTACCACATACTAAGACTGAGTTAAAACCATTAATTTACAATCAAAGAACTTTGGAAACATATATTTGATCGTGTAATTTTTTTTCGTATCCTTTCATGGCCGCTTAAAAGATGCCCAAATCGTATTTTTAATGATAACTCAAATTTTTCAAATGGTACGAGACTGGCTCAGCATATTTGGAAAAAGCATTTTTACGAATAATTTGGTACCACATACTAAGACTGAGTTAAAACCATTAATTTACAATCAAAGAACTTTGGAAACATATATTTGATCGTGTAATTTTTTTTCGTATCCTTTCAGGGCCGCTTAAAAGATGCCCAAATCGTATTTTTAATGATAACTAAAATTTTTCAAATGGGACGAGGCTGGCTCAGCATATTTGGAAAAAGCATTTTTTACGAATAATTTGGTACCACATACTTGGTATTTGGAGTAAAATTGTCGTTACGTTTATTTATGGCCATTTTTTAATTGAAAATGTCAAAAGTTGATATATAACATATCATTCTATTTAGAATGTCATTTTCTATCATATACCATTTAAATCAAAAGTTGTTGTCATTTCCGGTGAAATAGGTAGCGAAATAAATAAAAACGTCGATCAATCCCGATTTATGACCTATACTAACATACCAAATCTCGTTTTTTATCTAAAAAATTAAAGTTATAGAAGTGGACACTTTTCAGAAACACCCGGTATATTTATTTCTAAAAATGCAATGGTAAAATTTCATTTCCGGTGTCAAACTTCCTATTAAGTAGTAATTTTTAATTTCAAAATCCCATAATTCCGGTGTTTAATAAAAATAATCATAAAGGTCTTTATTAACAAAAATGAAATTATATGGACGAAGTCTAGCTACATAGCTATTCACACTCAACCCACAATAAAATTAAAATTATAAAAGCTTTTCTTTGTGTAAACAAACTAGTTGTAAATGTTTTTCACGGTCCCAGTCAATAACTGCGTCTTCCATTGTCGAATACTCGGTAAAAAATAAAAATCACAGATGGACGCCCGAAATTAAATGAGACCCTTCCAAGTGTCCGCTACAATGTCCGCCGAAATGCACGCCGTTCGCTCCCTTTTGATTTACCGACACCCGTCGGAAAAGAACGCGCGCGCTCTAGCATAGGCAGACGCACGCTCTGGCGTACAAGCTAGCCGTTCGGCGCTCCGCGCTCCTTAATAGGCCTAGGCTAGCTGTACTTGTTGGCTTTATTATTTATAAATCTACCTATCTCACAATTTTCACTTAGTATCTGTTTAACTATATATGTTCGCGAACATTTTGTTCGAATAGCTTGGACGCGGCTTAACAAATAGTTTTGTATGCGTAAAATAAAACACGTCGCGTCACTACGTATTTTTAAGCCGTAAAGTCTCGCGTGTCGTCTCGCTAGCTCATGTGTCACGGCCTTGAATTGTTACTTCCAGTGCCCGTAAAGAAGTTTCACTTCAAAAATCATCAAAGTAATAAAGCATCAGATAAAATGTATTTTCTGAAATGAAGCATAATTCAAGTTTGTCGAAAGTAGTTAGAGCAGGCAACGATTTCAATTTAGGGTATATTCCGTTGCTTATGGTTTTATGTTCCGTTTCAATCGGTTTCCTGAAAGTTTTCTTATTATGGAACAGGGTTCCTGAAAAATTCGGTTCTAACAGTCACCAAACTAAACAGCGCGAGAAGTCTGGTTTTTCTGGTTTTGTTTGCCAATCAATCTCATTTATGTGACAGAAATCAATCAAATATTGGAAGTTCGAGTGAAATTCTCATTTAATTTCTAAAATTTGTAATAATATTTTGTATTTACATCCAAAAGCAATGGAGGTAGGCAGTAAAGGTAAATAAATTTCATTAACTAAATAGAATGATTTTTTAGGACCATTTGAACTTATCATGCAGCCATTGTTTCTTAAAGTCAGAAGCATTTAAAGAAAACATGAAAAACAAGACAACAAGTAATAGTGAATGTTTTGTAAGCTATAAAAATATAAATATTGATTAGATTTGTTTATTTATTATTGATCTGTTTTAATATTGGACCTGCAAATCTTCACTTGAGCTGTCTAACGAGTACTTTTCAATATTAGTCGATTGAAAAGAAGAAGCAAACGTAAAAGCAGAGAATAGGTACATTAAAAATGCATAAAAGATAAATTTTATAATAGAGGTATTGAAATTTAGAAAACGTCAATATTTTACGTTTCCAGTATTTTACCAAACCGTTCCATATCAAACCGATGTTTTTCAGGAACCGCTCTTTACCGGTCTGGTTCGCCTGGTTTTGCAACGGAATACAGCCTTAATGAACTTGATTTACTTACAGTTATCTGTTGTTGTTTGTGCATCAGGTTTAGGTATCATGATCAACGGTGGTACTGGTAACTGAGTGATGCTGCGAGAAACATCTCCTAAATCTCTATTTGAAGTAGAACTTTGCTCATCTGCGACAAATAGAATAATAATATATTTGATAGACAAAAAAAAACATTAAAAAGAATAAATGAAGGTGAGTTCAAACAGTCAAGTATAATAAGAATGTTGGATATAAGAGAAGAACATAGTTACGTTCATACAGTCAAAATATAATAACAAATACAATAACAGTTCGTTATCATTTAACTTCTTGTTCTATTTGATGTAAGAACGACTCTGCACATGCCTTAAGACTTAAAATTTAAGCCTTTTTCAAAATGACCTGTATTCCGAAATAGAAAAAGATTTTTTAGAAAGTCTTTTTAGAAAAGGATTAAGTCATTAAAAAGATGCGATTGTGCAGATAAACAAGCAACTGATGATTTGAAAAAATCGTCCATAACAAGTAAAACGAATAACAATGCTTATGAACCTACATACCTGACATAAATAAAGTTGGGACAGCAAATTTCTTTAAACGGCTTTGAGACATTCCCGCAAACATGGTAGGTTGAAAGTGTCTTCCACAAACTCTATACCCTCTATGCAAGTCTACAGGTGATTTTGCTTTAAAATCCTGCCTGTTGCAATTCTTAACCCACTCAGAACATCTATTTATTAAAATAGTTTTCATTATTTAACAGATGATTGTATTGATGAGATGATTGCATGCATGAGTCTGCCAAAAACATTAAAATTTCTAAAAAATCTTACTAGATTGTCTAAAATTCTAGAGGAAACATTCCTTATTGTGTGGATAAAAAATATTTATGCACCTTTTTGGATCCAATGGAAATGAAAAGAAGCTAAGACCCATATCAGCCTCCGTATTGCTTAAACAGCCGGGAACACAGCAGTAACCAACGCCCATTATCAACAAAATTGTCAAACGAATATAGTCACAAAATAATAAAGTCACAAAATATCACAAACACACCACAAAGAATAATTTTAATTTACTTTTCCGCTCGTTCATAATATGATATTCATATTTTTAGGTTAGGATTAGGAATGTAATTACGAGTAGTGGTCGAGAACTATCGATAGCCTATCGATATTTATTTATAGTTTATACTATCGAAAACTATCGATATTATATTTCTCACCATCGATAGTTTTCGGTAATTATGTCTTTAGTAATAAAGACATAATTATCGAAAACTATTTACCACTTTCAATAAAGAAAAGACATTCAGGTTTAATTTTTTTTATCACAACCAATCAGTTCTTTAACATAGGCTGAAAATAAATAAGAATCTTTTTTTAAACGAGTTTTCGGAGCAGTTAGTCAATCCGAAATATGTCATTATTGTCAAAATTATCAAATGTCGTGTCAACACTGTCAACAGTGTCAACTTTAACGTCAAACGTCAACTTTAAGCTTACGGCCAACGGATTTTTGGATCTAATCTGGCATTTTTGCTTTGCATTTTGCAATTTAATTTATATGTGATAAACAATAATAAATATAAATCAAAATATAAAAAAAACATATGTGATGTGTGATGTGTCCATTTCATTTGCAGGCGGTGATTTAATATAAAAATGTTATTTAAAGAGTCTGGGTTAGTTTTTTACGTCAATGATCTCCCACAAAACATAATTTATTTAAAAAATAACCTAAAAACTGGTAAACACACTAATTATTATGACTATCGAACACTATCGATAATAATCGATAGTCAAAGGACCGACTATCGATAATTATCGATGGTGGGTATCGACTATCGATACTCAGATGTTAGATTTTAACAAAGAAATTTCTGAATCTTTAATTACGATTGCAATAATAAAATTTTTATATTTAGCAGTAAAGCAAAATAGAGTGCAAAATTGACGATTTAAGTCTACAAAAATGACTTGACTTATACCTACTCTAAATTCACTGTATTTATATAATAGGTTGTTGTCTTTCATTGGCTTGACTCATTTATTTTATCTTATTTGAATGATTACAAATAAAAATTCCTTATTTTTTTTTATTCTTATTTTATTTTACTTCACTGTTTGAAGTCACTGATAAAATTTTTTTACTAAACAACTTTTACTTACCGCTTGATGCAACAGGATCAATTTCTAGTTTCATAGCAATATTTGAAGTTTCACTCAGGACGTCCGAGAATTCTGATAAATATAAAAAATAAAAAAAAATTCTAGAAAATCATTATACAGGGTAGTCCCAATTGTATTCGGGAAACATCAGCAGAGCATATTATGCAGATAAAAATAAGTAAAAAAGTTCTTATAAATGTATGTCCTAAAATGCTTAGTTTCGAAGATACAGTATGTAAAAGTTTCATTTTTATTTCGATTTTTTCCAAATAATTTCTGAACTAACATCTATTTGGATGAAAACTGGTGTTTGGGGTTTTTTTGATATGAGAAATTTAATTTTGATGTCAATATGACTGCTACTTATAGAATAACTTAGTAATAACGTTTCGTTCGCATCTGTATAAAACTACTGAGTAAAAAAATACACATTTACGATGTATTTTACTTAAAAAAAGTCTCTTGAAAAAAAAAACGCTACGATGATTCTCGAGATATTTGGAATCGGATTTATCAATACCTGTCATCATTGACATAAATTAAACATGTTGACTAAATTAATAGTTATTAGACTGAAATAATAGATTTGAAATGTTTTTTGTGTCAAAAATTCAACAGAAACTATTTAATTATATTTTTTTCGAAGAAAGATTTATCATTAATCTAAAAAAATAAAAAGTTCCCAAACTTTCAACATTTTTTTTTAAATAAATTCATAATGCATGTTTCAGGTGGCAAAATATACCAAGAATTAAAAATGCTTTTCACTTATTTAAAGAACGCTCTGTATATGCATACTTACCATCTGTGAGAAATATTGGTTCAATTTTAATTTCTGGCATTTCTTCATCTTCAACTATCTCATTTATGTTTTCTTCTTTATATAAAAAAAAAAATTATAAACTTGATGTATAGTGGTACTACAGGGTGTCCCTGAATAGTAGCCTTTGAATAAAAAGATAAAGGAAGGAGTATAATGCTATCCATTTAATCATAGACGGACAAAAGGCCCTAGGGTAGGGTCCTAGACAGTTCTGTTTGACGACGATTCACTTGACACATTTGAATGTGATTTGAAATTTTGTGGATTTGTCAGTCTTTACTGGGCTTATTTTATGTTATTTATTATTTATTATTAGAGATGGGGATATTCCGGGAATCTTATTTTGAGGGAATGTTCCTGGGAACGTTCCCCAAATCGGGATAGTGATGGGAATGGAAAAAATGTTTAATGTTATGAAAAATTGGAAACTTTCCGGGAAGGTTCCCGGAAATATTCCCCAAAGGCAGAAAAGTGGTAAAGTTAAGAAAATATAACTTTCAAAATAAATATAATAAATTTTTTTATTAAAAATAATTTTTATTATTCTCATAAATCTAATAATAAATCAAGTTGCTGTTGTCAAGGCCTGTTCACAACTTTTCCAATGTTTTGATTACTTTCCCTAAATTTAAGAAAAGTTCCCGAAAAATGGGGAATGTTCCGAGAAATATTCCAACTCGCATCAAAATACAACTTTCCCGAATTTCAGTCACTTTCCTGACCTTAGAGGAACGTTCCCGGAACATGAGCACGTTCCTTGAGGCACGTTCCAACCTGCACATCACTATTTATTATACAACCGGCAGTTGTTTAGATTTAGTAAATCTAGAAATTGTAGCAGAACTTAAATTAACAGTGACAAGTGACACTATTACGATTTATCGAAAAAGACTTATATTTATAATATTATAGTCACTTACTAGCGAAAAGTTATTCCATTATTTCCCTCGATTTTTGACCGAGATCTACCGCACGCCACACAACCAACTATTTTGCAGTTTTTGTCGATAAATCGCAATAGTGTCACTGTTAATTTAAGTTCTTCTACAATTTCCTTCTAGATTTACTACCTTTAAACAACTATCAGTAGATGAAAAAAAGAATAGTAGAATAAATAATAAATAACTCAAAGTAGAATAAATAATAAATAACATAAAATAAGCTCAGTAAAGACTGAGAAATTCACAAAATTTCAAATAAAATCAAATGTGTCAAATGAACCGTCAAAGGGAACTGCCAAGGATCCCCACCCTAGGACTCTACCTCCGTCTACCATTCATGAATATATGGATAGCATTATACTCCATCCTTAATCTTTTTATTCAAAGATCCCTATGTATATCAATTTGAAACTGAAATATTACTCACCACAGACTAATGCATTTTTAAAATTACCATCGGAATTAGATGTATCTGATATCTCGAACACTGTATTTCTAATTTGATCTGGAAAAAAGTATTAATGTCAATATATTAAATAGCGTATGATGAACAGTTAAAATAATTATGTAATATTAGCGAAAAAAAATATTATTTTTTAATTCCGAAAATACTAATAGGCAAATTCGTGACAAGGCTAATTTGATTTCTCCTTAGGTACGGTGGAGCCTCTCCTTGTTCTGCAGCCAGCGCATAAAACACTCATTTTCTCTAATTCGGCCAGCGAAGGCATGTCGAAGACGGTGTACAACTGAAAGTGACAGTGTCGCCATATTAAAATGTGCAACATGTGTAATACGTTTGTCGAAAATTTCTTTGAATGAAAAATCCGCGTTTATGTATTGAAAATTTACTCGTGTTGAACATAGAATAAACAACAAAAAGAGAAAGTCTTTTATAGGTACTGAATATTTCGTATGATCGAAAAATATTGTTTAGTTGCCTTGGAAATGACGACTATTGACATTTACCATAATATTTTACACATATGAATAAACAAATAACAGCGATCTTTTTTTAATGACAGAAAATCCGTATTATTAACGTACTATACACAAAATCCGTAAATATACGGATTAATCTGTAATTCTGGCAACAGTGTCTCCGACAACCACCCGCTCTGTCGACTGAAAGCAGAACTACGGTATAGTATTCTTTATCCGCTGCGCTGTAAACGACAATCAGCGCACAGCGGCGCAGAGCTAAACTAAATCTCGGACAGGTTGACTAACGGAGACGGTATCGCCAGTTACATCTCGGACAGGTTTTGTACCACGAAATCTCTTTTACGTTGTACATTTGTTGTATGTATTGAGCATTACATATACCGATTTGGTCATTTTAGAAGTGTGGTCTGGATTTTAACGTGTAAGACAGAGAATAATATAAATTACCGGTTAAAAGACAGAGAGACAAAATCAAAAGCGGCATACAGTGTTGCCGATTTTTACGTTTGTAGCAAAAATTTGTGTAGAAAAAAAATAAACATATTTTAAAAACTTTCATGTATACTACTTAAATGAAGATGATAAACCTAAGCTTAATATAATCTATTACATCTGTAGTAAAATGAGAAACTTATTGTGAAAAATCAGGTTCCAACCCTAGATGCAACGTTTTCCATAAACGCCTACTTGTGCGGTTTGAACTTTTGATGCAAAATCCGGCAATACCGCATAGAAGAAATGTACCAACCCAACTATATCCCTTTTTAATACATTTGATTTTCGATTAAGCTGCCTACATCACTGTCTTACACGTTAAAATCCAGACCACACTTCTAAAATGACCAAATCGGTATGTATGTTACAAGGGTAAAGGGGATTTTTTAAATTTGCCGTCATGGTAGTTGTCGCATAACATGTCATTTTTTTTTAAATCAACCTTTTTTAAAACGCAATTAAAAAAATCATTTGTAGTCTGTATTAGGTATAAACATTTTAGTCAATATTTTTTAATTTGTGAAAGGAGGCTGGAAAGATATTACCGTTGTTGCATAGGGTCCAACTGAAAAAACAACGATTTTTTAAAACTTCGATAAACATAGCCCAATATTGGCATTTATCAATCTGGGAACTCAGCTGTGAGAAATTAATCACAAATTATGTCCCAAATGACAAATTTCCTAACATGATTTTTTTATACAGATCTGTCAAAAAGATCGTAAATTACATTCTATATGAAAAGTTACAAAAATACACTGTAAACAAAAGAGAATAATTAAAAAAACAGATTTTTTCAGAAGAAAATGTATTTAATAAAAATTATAAACAATTACAAAAGTTCAAACGTTAATTTTCTATGTCCTTTGTTTTTGGCTCCAATATCTTCAGTTTTCAATATTGAGATCATTATTTATCATAAACAAATGTTCATTGAGAAATCTCATTGAGATTTACCGTCCCCATCATTTTTTTCTCCAAGTATTCTGGTGCTTTCTTCTGCCATTTGTAGCAAACTACTTAATTCACTTTCATTTATTATATCCCGATGATTCCTTTACATTTACAGACTTTAATAACTGTTTGTGTTGCTTTTGTACCTTCAGGTAGACAATGCAACAGACTGTTGAAATTGTCTATACCAGTAGATCATGTACAAAATGGCTTAAGGTAATGCAAAATAAATAAATAATATACTATTATACCTGGTAAATTTAAAGAAGGTAGTACTCCACTTTTTAGTCTGTTATTAGGACCAAAATCCTCAGGCAAAAAATGAAGCGAACAGACTCTGTATGATCGATAAACATTTTCTGGTGTCAGTTCATTTATCAATCGTTTATTTCCGCACAGAATAATCCATTTGTTAAAAATCTCCCTGTATTTTGTTGGGTTAGGAAAGCGATGTTTGGTACTACCACTTTTCCAACAGGTCGGTATAGTACAAGGTATTGCGGGCATAGTTAGCTCTTATCAGGATTTATCTGGAAATAAAGCGATAATATTAATATAAATTCTCTTAAAAAAAATACAAATAAATTACCTATATAGGTAACAACTTACCGGCTACAAGTGGCTGTCTGTAAGTCCACTAAAGTACCAAGAGTTCACAATAAACTAAAACAGGTTTGTGTACACACAAAACACAATAATGGCCATAATAATTCAACAAAATCATAGAAGACCGAAACGCGTAAGCGAGAACAAAACAAAAACAATTTTTTCCTAAACAGCTGAGATCCGAGATTGACAGTTGCCAACTAGTGTTGGACCATGTTTATCGAAGTTTTAAAAAATCGATGCTACATCAGCAATATTCGATATGTCCGGAGCCAAAAAAAGTGCGATTTTTCTCATTTTCGGCAATTTTTTTAAGATACAACATAACGTAAAAACTAGATCAAATTGCATTAAGTATTCTTACAATAACATCCAGGTGAGGAAAGTTGAAAGTTAATAAAAAAAATCGATATCCAGAAAATCGACAATCGAAATCGTTCAAATTAAATATCTGGGAAACTGTGCATTTTCGAAACACAGTTTAAATGGGGTAAATATAGAGCTCCACTAGCTCTATCTGTAGAGGCTTCACTGGTCGTTTAGCTACTTACCGTTTGCTATTTTATACCTACTTATTTTTTTTTTCTGTAGGTATAATTTAATGCAGCGACCAAACGCCAAAATTTTCGAAGTGTCTTCCACGCTCAATTTCAGCGTTAACACCTTAAAAATTATTTAGAATAATAAAAAATAGGTCCCCTACTAAAAACACACTGATTGGTTTTCTGTTTGGTAGCTCGAAAGGACTATAGGGACAACCAAAATCATTTTAGCGTGTGCACCACCAACGCAACATTTTTAAAATCAAAAATACAACAAATTGCAGCAAACAAAAAATCAATGCTAAATATTGCCAGGAGCTTACTATCGATATTTAAACAAGGAACAGCATTTGCTTTCAGACCTCTTCGCGTTCCCGGCACAATATCATCTGGAGAAAAATGGGCGTCGCACACCATGAACTTCTTGTATATTTCGTCGACTGTTAATAACTTGTAGTTCGGTGGCCTTACCATATCAAGCCATGCATTAAAAACAACCCTATTTCCTCTTGGAAACCTATGTCTCTTGCTGTACCTATTTTTGCATCCAGAAACGCAACAACGCTTCCGGTTATATTTAACTTCCGAAAAATCCATAATAATTTACGGCTAATATAAAAGTAATATAAAAAATATATAACCACCAACAACCACAAACCACACCGTAAACAAAACGATAAACGATTTTTCCGAACAGCTGAGATCTGACAGTTGGCAGTTATCAACTAGTGCTGGGCTATGTTTATCGATATTTTAAAAATCGATGTTTCGTCAGCAAAATTCGATATTTTGGCGTTCATGTCAAATTTAACGTTTATGTAAAATATGTAGCACTTTGGTACCACCAAAGGGTAGCACTTACAAAAACATTTCCCCTAAAAATTTCATTCTAATTATTAAAAAAGCACTTAATACAATAAAACCAAAAAAAAAATAAGAATTTAACCGCCTGTAGCTACAAAACAACGCAGAATCGGGCCTATATTGATATGACAAATAAATCTTATTTTTACATGAGAGATGGCACGTTTTTTGAAACACCCTATATAGGGTGACGCACCTCATTCGCCTCGGTCGATTATACGAAAACAGGAAGATGTAGAAACAATTTTTTTTATGGGTGCATGTAGAGAGGCAATGTGCATAATTTAAAATATTTTCAAATGTAGAGGGTGTGTCAGAACTAAGATCCATACCAAAGTTATATATTTTTTTCTTATGGAACACACACATCCGGTATTTTAGTTCATTTTTGGATTCTTGGGCATAAAATAAGGCCTTTATTATAAATGTTTTGTGTTTAAATGCTTTGATTTTTGATATATTTAAAGATATTTAAATATGCATCCTGTAATAAAAAAGTTTGTTAACACCCTGTACCTACATTACTTTGCATAGTTAATTCTTTCGCTGACTTTGAAGCCAGAGAAATAAACTTTACTAAAAAAATGTATTGCTTCCTTAAATGTATACAGGGGTATCAAAAATTGCTGGTTAATTTTAAATATTTATTTTACATAAAAACTTCGTTATTTCAAATACAACACTATGTGTTTTTTTAACTAATTCGGAGCAGATTTAAATGCTCTTTCAAACTACATTAGGGTTTCCAATACTATCTGGCTCAGATTTTGAATAAAAAGCGATTTTTCAATAAAATGGCAATCAAGATGGCTGGTGTCGTCATGGCAATGTGCTAGTGACAGTGTTTAGTGAGGATTTTCAAAATCGACATTAGTTTATGGACTTTATTTAAATTTATAACAGTTTACTTTTTTTAATTTACCTACAATAGTTTAATAAGTTTTTTATTATTACCTACAATAGTTTAATAAATTTATAATTATTTTAGCAAGAAAAATAAAGAAGTAATTCTTTTTGATTTATATTACGATGACTTGTAGATATATTAGATTTGTTATAAAAGAACCAATTTAGGCAAATTAATTTTCTTCACTTTTAA